GCAGCTATGGATGCAGAGATGGCTTCCTGGAAGTCCACAGGCACCTACGTTGATGCGGTTCCCCCACCTGGGGCGAACATCGTCAGTGGCATGTGGATCTTCAGGGTGAAGCGGCCGCCAGGTTCTCCACCTGTCTTCAAGGCGCGGTACGTGGCTCGTGGCTTCAGTCAGCGGCAGGGAGTTGACTACTTTCAGACCTTTTCTCCCACCCTGAAGATGACCACTCTTCGGGTGCTGCTGCACATAGCCGCTCAGCGCAACTACGAGCTTCACTCTCTTGACTTCAGCACTGCTTTCTTGCAGGGTAGCTTGCACGAGGAGATCTGGCTACGCCGCCCACCTGGCTTCACTGGGACTTTTCCTCCTGGCACCCAGTGGAGCCTCCGGCGGCCAGTCTACGGTCTCCGCCAGGCACCGCGTGAGTGGCACGACACACTGAGGACTACGCTTGCGGCTCTTGGGTTTGCTCCCTCTACTGCCGACCCGTCGCTGTTTCTGCGCACCGACACTTCTTTGCCGCCGTTCTACATCCTCGTGTACGTCATCGACTTGGTCTTTGCCACTGCTGACACTGCTGGACTCGCCCACGTGAAGTCCGAGCTGCAGAAGAGACACACGTGCACAGACCTGGGTGAACTGCGCAGCTACCTTGGCTTGCAGATCACCCGGGACAGAGCACGCCGCACCATTACCCTGATTCAGTCACACATGGTGCAGCAGGTCCTTCAGCGCTTCGGCTTCACGTACTCCTCGCCTCAGGCCACTCCTCTGCCTACTCGCCACTCGCTCTCCGCTCTGCCTTTGGATGAGTCCGTAGAGTCGAGTGGCCCGTACCCAGTGCTTGTTGGCTGCTTCATGTACCTGATGACCTGCACACGACCTGACCTTGCATACCCTCTTAGCATTCTTGCACACTATGTTGCTCCTGGGAGACACAGACCAGAGCACATGGTTACAGCGAAGAGGGTGTTGCGCTACTTGTGCAGTACGTCGGGCATGGGGCTAGTGCTTGGAGGGCAGAGTCCAGTGGTCCTCACTAGGCACGCAGACGCTTCTTGGGCTGACGACCAGGCTACACAGCGGTCGTCACAGGGTTACACCTTCAGCCTTGGTTCCGGCTCTGTTTCGTGGAGGGCTACTCGCTCGTCTTCCGTTCTCGGCTCCAGTTGTGAGGCTGAGATCTACGCAGGAGCCATGGCTGCTCAGGAGCTTCGCTGGCTCACCTACCTGCTGACTGACCTCGGAGAGCCGCCTCGTTCTCCTCCAGTGCTGTACGTAGACAACAAGGCCATGCTGGCCTTGTGTCGAGAGCAGCGCCTGGAGCACAGAACGAAGCACATTGCTCTCCGCTACTTTCTTGCTTGTGAGCTGTAGCAGCGTGGTCAGTTGCGACTTGCGTACGTGGCCTCTGAGGCCAACACTACTGATATCTTCACTAAGGCACTTGCGCCTTGTGATCATCAGCGCTTCTGTACTCAGCTTGGTCTTTTGCCTGCCTTGCCTCACTTGCTCACTTCTTGACCTTGCTTGTACTGTCACATGTATATTCTCCTGCTCTTGCTTGTTTAGTCTTTTATATATATATGTGCTCCTGCATGTGAACTGGCCTCCTGGCCTTGAACTTGTGCTCGGAATGTGTGGTGACTTTGTGATCCACCCTGAGCTTGCTTTGCTTTGCTTGACTGGTCTTGTGACCCCTTGTTCTCCCCCACTTTGCCTATGGGGGTGTGTCAAATTATAATGTTGTGTAGGCTGTAGTGGGGTAGCCTATATGGGGTACACAATTCTAGGGTTGCATACTTGTATCATTTTCGTTCCTCAGTCATTTATCCTTGTTTCAGTTTTCTCAGTCAAGAGGTGAGCAAGTGAGGCAAGACAGGTACAAGACCCAGCTGGGTGCAAAAGCGCTGATGATCACAAGGCGCAAGTGCCTTGGTGAAGACATTAGCAGTGTTGGCCTCAGAGGCCACGTACGCAAGCCGCTACTGACCACGCTGCTGTAGCTCACGAGCAAGGAAATAGCGGAGAGCAATGTGCTTTGTTCAGTGTTCCGGTCTCTTCTCTCGACACAAGGCCTGCATGGCCTTGTTGTCTACGTACAGGACTGGAGGAGAACGAGGCGGCTCTCCAAGGTCGGTCAGCAGGTAGGTGAGCCAGCGAAGCTCCTGAGCAGCCATGGCCCCTGCGTAGATCTCAGCCTCACAACTGGAGCCGAGAATAGAAGACGAGCGAGTAGACCGCCACGAAACAGAGCCGGAACCAAGGCTGAATGTGTAACCCTGTGACGACCGCTGTGTAGCCTGGTCGTCAGCCCAAGAAGCGTCTGCGTGACCAGTGAGGACCACTGGACTCCGCCCTCCAAGCACTAGCCCCATGCCCGACGTACTGCACAAGTAGCGCAACACCCTCTTCGCTGCAGCCATGTGCTCTGGTCGGTGTCTCCCAAGAGCAACATAGCGTGCAAGAATGCTAAGAGGGTATGCAAGGTCAGGTTGTGTGCAGGTCATCAGGTACATGAGGTAGCCAACAAGCTCTCGGTACGGGCCACTCGACTCTACGGACTCATCCGAAGGTAGAGCGAGACGCGGGTCGCGGGGGAGGCAGTGGTGGGGGCCTACGGGGCCGACGGGGCCTTAAGGGGCGGCGCGCGAGTCGCTAAGGGGCGGGTCGCGGGTCGCGGGGCCTTAGAGGGCCGTGAAAACCGAGGCGCCCTAGGGCGCAGGTAGGTAGGTAGGTAGGTAGGTAGGTAGGTAGTGGTGGGCCCTAAAAGATCGGTCCTAGGAAGGACCTGCTCTATACCATGTTGAAATGAATGAACGGGAATGATTGAACTAACAGTGAAATCAGTACAAGTACCTAGCCCTAGAATTGTGTACCCTCTATAGGCTAACCCACTGTAGCCTAAACAAGCACAACATATATAGTGTTTGACAGAAAACCGCCGCACGCTCCGACCGCGCGGCGGGAAGAAAAATCCGTCGCACGCCACGGGGCGTGCAACACACAAAGTAGCAGCGGAAGCAGTTAGGTGGGCCCACAGGCCAGGAGCGTAGATGCTCTGATAGCATGAGAGAATCATAAGCATAGTGAGGAGCCATAGCTAGGGTTTAGCTAGCTAGGCAAGAGAGAAATGAACAAAGGAAGGAGTTTCACTAGCAGCAGTTGGGATACATATAGCAAACCCTAACAGGGTTGTACTCGCTATAGAGCACCCCACTATAGGCTAGATAATAACATTTTGACAGCTTTTATAAGAGACGTTCTGGGAGCAGTTGTCGATCAGATTTCTCCATCATCTCACCTCTTAATCATCGGTGACCTGAATCTGACGGATGACCCTAAGCTGGATCGCTCCTCAGGCTCGGGTTCGTCGGCTTAGAACGAAAAGCTCCTACGGAGATGCACCAGCTTTCAGCTCTCCAACGCTTTTTGCACCCTGCATCCACGCAGCAGAGAATACACCTTTTATGCACATTCACATCGTTGTAGCACTCGTATTGATCGCGCACTGGTTTCTCAATCTCTACTGACTCACTTGTCATTTGCTGCGCATGATAAGCCGGAGGAGCCAGTCTCGGATCATGGCTTTGCAATCCAGGTTGCGTTCCGCCTGGATGAGAAGGTCTGTACCAGTCCAGGGATCTGGAGGCTCCATGCCTCGATGGTACGAAGGCCGGGGGTGCGGAAAATCATTTATGCGACGGTCAGAAGAACCCCAGTCCATGATGGTAGCAGCTTTGAACTCCTTATTGCACGCCTGGGTGCAGGGCTTCGGGCTTACGCAAGAGAGGAAAGCAAGAGGGTAAAAGCGACCAGGGCTCATTTGGCCAATGCGATAGCAAAGCTGAAGCAAGAGGTTATGGGGGATCCTGGTTGCAACATTAAGCGGGAAGCACTGGAGGTGAAGGAGCTGTAGTTAAAGGCATATCAGGAAGCGAGGAAAGTTCGACTACACCTGCAAGCTGGCCTGTCAGAAGAGCTGACCGGTGAAATAGCTTCAAAACACCTGTCGGGCAGGGTTCGTGCAAGGAGGGCACGCACACAAATCGTGGAGCTGAAGGAAGGAGGGAACTTGATCTCCGGAGGGCGCCAGATTCTTGATGCGGCGTCTGGTTTTTTCCGGAACATCTTCGGGAAGGATCGGGGTGTGGACTTCACGAGCGGGTTTTTTTAACCAAGTCAGTGCCTGGGAAGGGAGGCAGCGGAAATGCTAGCGGCAGACTGGACAGAGCAAGAGGTGAAAGCGGGTTTCGCAACAATGGCAAAAAATAAATCGCCTGGGGGAGATGGGCTCCCAAAGGAGTTGTTTGAAGCTCATTGGGACTTGCTGGGGAGCAGTTTCATGGCGATGGCGAGAGACTTTGAGCGGTCCGCTTTGTTGGAGGTTGCGTGGGGGGGAGGCTTGCCCCCAACCACCGAATGGTGCTCACCTTCGAGTGAGCTGCAGATTTGCGTGGAGCTGAAGTTTGACTTTGGAAGACTCATCACTTCGGTGCCACATGGCAGCACAAGAAGAATCGAGACTCGGGGACAATTCGATTCGGTGAAATTCGAGAGTCGAATTTACTCGAACATTCGAGTGTACCGCGGTTCAAGGTTACATGTGCAGTTCGATGTTGATTGCATGCTATAAAACTAGTTGCTTTGTATGCATGTTTCATACTGAAAAACAGAGTTTCCTATACACAGTTCAACTCGACACAAAATCCAGAGAGTTTCCATACCTTCAACCTAGAGCATAGCCTTCACGTTCAAAGCCATATCTCTCTCGTTTCTTAGGCGAACGAAGTGATAGACGGCTCGTCGGAAAGCTAAGACTGAGCTCTAGACTCCAAGTTCCTGCAAAGTAGAGGAGAGTCCTTTACATCAGTGGTATCAGAGCTGGTCGGAGGAGTCTACGCGCGCGACAAGGAGCAAGCATGCCGACTTCAAGCGAGGCCTCCCGCACTTCCTTGGATGATGTCGTTGTAAATTCCGGCGAACCCTGGGCAACCGCGACGATGTTCGACACGTCGGCGGTACCGATTTTCACGGGACAAAACTACTCCGCGTGGAAGTTTAAGTTCCAACTGCTCATGATGGAGCGGGGACTTTGGGGTTTCTTCGATGGAACGGAGAAGAAGCCGAACGATGAGAGCGGCATCGCGGCATGGAAGAAGAAGGACCAAAAGGCGTTTGCTACGTTAATTTCGCGCATCGGCATCAATCTCGTGAGCGCGGTGCACATGTGCATCAAGCTCGAAGCGTCGGCGCATGAAGCGTGGAAGCGGCTCGAAACCATCCACGTGAACAAGACTCTCCACGGCAAGATCCTAGCCCGGAATGCGTTCTACACGGTGAAGATGCGCGCGGGCGAATCGATGCACGAGTATGCGACTCGTGTGGAGGAACTTGGGGAAACGTTCATGGACCTCGGTGGAACGGTCACGGAGGAGGATTGGATTTTGACCTTGCTTTGCGGCCTTCCGCAAGAGTGGTCGACGGTGATTACGACACTCGATAGCGTGCAAGACACTTGGACGAAGGAAATGGTGGTTGGTCGGCTTCTCCATGAAGAATCGCGTCGCCAACAATTCGCTAATGAGAGCGAGGGTGCCGCCATGTTCTCCGGAGGGAGTTCCGGAAAGAAGTCCACGTGGAGCAAAGGTGCGACGAAGAAGTCTTCCGGAGGAAGCGATCGCGGCAAGGGAAATGCATCGAGCGGCACCAGCAAGTGCCACTATTGCGGCAAATCGGGACACTTTTGGCGAGAGTGTCGGAAGCGGCCGAGCGATTGGACTCCATCGAAGGCGCGGAACCACGAGGGCAACGTGCATACGGCATCCGGCAAGGCGGATGATACAAGGGAGTCGATCATGTTATTGACCGGTGACGAGACCAACACTCCAAGTGACGCGTGGTTCCTCGACACCGGCGCAACGCAACACATGACGCACTCGGCGTCGCTCCTCAACAACATTGGTGCTCCGGGAGACGTCACGAGCGTCGTCTTCGGGAACAACAGGTTGGGAGTTGGGAGTACGCGTCTCATCGTTGGAGTTGGGAGTACGCGTCTCATCGTTGATGGCGGACCGGTTGACATCACGAACGTGCTTCACGTCCCGGGATTGAAGGTGAATCTACTCTCCGTCACTCAACTCGCGAAGAATGACGTGAAGTTTACCATCGATGGCGTGACGATGAACCTCTTTTGGAAGGGGAAGCAATTCGCACAAGGCGTTCTCAACGGAGAACTCTACCAGCTCAAGACACACCCGGAAGCGGCTTCATCCAACGTGGCGCAAGGTTCCAAGGCGACTCTCAAGGCGTGGCATAATCGACTTGCGCACGCCAACTACGACTCGGTCAAGGAGTTGGCCAACAAAGGACTCGTGAAGGGAGTCGACGTGATCGCCGGCGACGACAAGAAGGGCGTGTGCGCGGCGTGTGTCGAAGGAAAAATGGCTCGCAAGCCATTCGGTAGCCGAACGTCACCCCTCGCTAAGGACCCGCTTGCGCTTGTTCATATGGACGTGTGTGGACCGATGCGGCATACATCAAAGGGAGGAGCGCGGTTCCTCTTGGTGATGCTCGACGACACGACACGGATGTGTTGGACCCGGCTCTTGAAGGCTAAGGGAGATGCGGCCAATGCAATTCAAGAGTGGGCGCTCGAAGTTTGCAACGACGACAAGAAGCGGATCAAGTGTATTCGCACCGATGGTGGTGGCGAATTCGTGAACGCGGAACTTGAGAAATGGATGAAGAGCAAGGGCATTAAGCACGACGTCACAACACCCTACACACCCCAACAAAATGGAGCGGCGGACCGGCTTAATCGCACGTTGGTGGAAGGCGTTCGTTCACTACTTTAACACTCCAAGCTTGGGCACGAGTGGTGGGGGGAGGCGAGTGCGCTAGCGGCGTAGATTCGCAACCGTTTGCCGACAAAGGTGCTCCCGGGAATGACTCTGTTCGAAGCATGGACCGGAATGAAGCCGAACGTATCCCGCCTACGCACCTTTGGGTGCCTTTGCTACTACCATGTCCCGGATCCCCTTCGTCACAAGTTGCAACCGAAGGCTCGTGCGGCGATCTACTTGGGACTTGCGGCGAACGAGCGTGCGTGGCGAGTGTGGGACTTGGGCGACAAGCGCGTCGTCACGTCTCGAGATGTGGTCTTCGACGAAGACAAGTTCCCGATGAAGGAACAACCAACGCCGCAACTCACCGTCGTCCTTCCCGCACGAGAGGAGGATGAAGCGGTGGAGGTTACATCACAAGTGGAAAAAGAAGCCGAAAATGGAGGGGGAGAGAACGAGGAGAGCGACGACGACGTGGTGGAGGTGCCACCAACCGAGGCGGCAACTTCCTCTACACCTTCCTCCCTCCCATTGGCGTTGACCCGCGAGCAACGTACACGTCGCCCCAACACGAAGCACAACGACTACGCTATGGTAGCCGTTGGGGAGTTGGACGAGGAGCGTGCGGCATATTGCTTCGCAACCTTGGGTGATGACCCTCGCACCCATATTGAGGCTTTGGCTTCTCCGGATGCGCCCCTATGGAATCAAGCGATGGAGAAGGAGCTAGCATCGATCAAGGAGAACGATGTGTTCGAACTCGTCGACCCGCCGAAGGGTGCCTACTTGATGGGGTGCAAATGGGTGCTTAAGAAGAAGTTGGGAGCCGATGGGAGTGTCGAACGCTACCAAACGAGGCTTGTAGCTCAAGGCTACACTCAACGGGAGGGGGAGCACTATAGCGAGACTTTCGCTCCCGTCGCTAAGGCTACAACTCTTCAGGTGTTGCTCGCGCTAGCGGCATCTCTCAACCTCGAGGTGGAGCAATTGGACGTTTGCACCACCTTCCTCTACGGGCTTCTTATGGAAGAAGTCTACATGCGTCAACCCCCGGGGTACGATGACGGTAGCGGAAGTGTGTGGAAGCTCAAGCGTACCCTCTATGGCTTGAAGCAAAGTCCACGTGGATGGTACAAGCGCATCGACGACTTTCTTCTTCAACACAGCTTCGCGCGTAGCGAGTGCGATAGCGCTTTATACGTGTTGAAGGAGGGGGGGAAGCAATTGGTGCTTTTGCTCTACGTCGATGACTTACTCCTCTTCTCCGACTCCAAAGACCTCATTCGGGAGGTCAAGCAATGGCTAGGGGTGGAATTTGCGATGAGGGATTTGGGGCCGATCACGTACTACATTGGGATGCACGTCGATCGTGACCGAGCCAACGGGACCATCCACCTCCACCAAGAGAAGTATGTGAAGGGGGTAGTGGAGAGATTTGGCATGGGCAATGGCAAACCGGTGGGAACACCACTAGCTACGGGATTTTCTTGCCTCACGGGAGAGGAAGAATCCACCCTCGACGAAGCCGAAGTGAAGCGGTTTCATTCGCTAGTGGGCTCGCTCATGTATGCCGCCGTTTCTACTCGCCCCGACCTCGCATACGCCGCCGGGGTGCTTGGACGAGTCGAAAGCAACCCTCATACCAAGCATATGTGCGCGGGAGGACGCGTTCTACGCTACCTCCAAGGCACACCTAACTTGGGGCTCGTGTATGAAGCTGGCCCGATTGAACTCAAGGGCTATGCCGACTCGGACTACGCGGGAGATCCGAGCACGCGCAAAAGTACCTCCGGGTATGTCTTCATCTTGCTTGGGGCAGCCATAAGTTGGCAAAGCAAGAAGCAACCAACCGTGGCTCTAAGCTCAATGGAAGCGGAGTATATGGCACTCACTCAAGGTGCCATGGAGGCAATATGGTTACGACGTCTTCTAGCGGAGCTTGGGCATCCTCAACCCAACCCAACTCCTCTCTTTTCTGACAACCAGGCCGCCATAAGCCTCTCTCATAATGCCGTCCTTCACGGGCGAACCAAGCATATCGAAGTGAAGCATCACTTCATTCGTGAGGCGGTTGAGAAGGGTGAGGTCAAACTCACTTACGTAAGCACCAAAGCTCAACCCGCGGACTTCCTCACTAAACCACTCCCTAAGGACTCATTCCGTACATGCTGTGAGCGTGTTGGATTGAACTTCTAGTGGCTTGGGTGCAAGGGGGAGTGTTGGAGGTTGCGTGGGGGGGGAGGCTTGCCCCCAACCACCGAATGGTGCTCACCTTCGAGTGAGCTGCAGATTTGCGTGGAGCTGAAGTTTGACTTCGGAAGACTCATCACTTTGGTGCCACATGGCAGCACAAGAAGAATCGAGACTCGGGGACAATTCAATTCGGTGAAATTCGAGAGTCGAATTTCACCCCTTCGAAATGTTACTCGAACATTCGAGTGTACCGCGGTTCGAGGTTACATGTGCGGTTCGATGTTGATTGCATGCTATAAAACTAGTTGTTTTGTATGCATGTTTTATACTGAAAAACAGAGTTTCCTATACACAGTTCAACTCGACACAAAATCCAGAGAGTTTCCATACCTTCAACCTAGAGCATAGCCTTCACGTTCAAAGCCATATCTCTCTCGTTTCTTAGGCGAACGAAGTGATAGACGGCTCGTTGGAAAGCTAAGACTGAGCTCTAGTGGATTATATAACTCCAAGTTCCTGCAAAGTAGAGGAGAGTCCTTTACATCACGCTTTACTTCCGGCAGAGCTCAAGGAAGCAGTTACTATCCTGTTGCATAAAAAAGGGAGCGAGATCAGTTGAACTACCGACCCATCACGCTTTTGAACTTCACGTACAAGGTGTTGGCAAAAGTCATGGCTGGCCGAATGAAGCGGGTGCTTCACCAAGTGATCTCACCAGAGCAGTACGGGTTCATCCCGGGGAGACGGCTGTCGGACGCAGTGGCGATGGTAGCGGATGTCATTGACATGGGGAAAAATGACAATGAAGACTGGTACATGCTGCTGGTTGACTTTCAAAAATCCTTTGACTCAGTGTCTCGTGACTTCCTGTTTGAAGTGCTTCGGAATATGGGTTTTCCAGAGCGCTTCGTCAAGTGGATTGAGGGGCTGCATGAGAACACCACGACGAAGCTGTTAATAAATGGGTGGCTCGGTGAAGGCGTGAACGTGGTTTCGGGGGTCCGGCAAGGCTGCCTGCTGGCTCCTTACCTGTTCCTGTGTGCGGTGGAGCCGTTAGCTAAAGAGGTGGAGAGGGAGAGCCTCGGTCTCAGTAAGGACGGGCAACAGCTTGGCTACGCCGGTTACGCCGACGACACGACACTTATCCTGCATGGCGCGGAGCAGATTGTTAAGGCGGAAGAGATTCTGGACAAGTTCGAGAAAGTGTCGGGACTGGCGACGAACAAGTATGCCAACACTGAACTTTGCTTCTCGTCGGACTCCAAAGCACAAACAGGGTAACCACTCTTCAGCAAGTGATAAACCTTTGGGTCCACCCCCCCCAAAGTGCACCCTTGCTTTAACTGTACGCGGTTCATGTGCGGAACTGTGGAAGGGAACATATGATCTATGATACCGCTTTTGAATATCTCGCACCATACTGAACCTTTTAAAGTCGTCTGTACCCAAACGATAACGACCCACCCCGAGCTGGGCAGTCGCACATGGCCATGTCCAGTTGCTCATTTCTCCAAGCCAAAGCCACATCCCTGGCACTGTGTGCCTCCGTGGACCCCGATATGGCGACACTATGTTGAACGTTAGGTCACTCTTCCTAGAATTGCGTCAGTCAAGGCCAGATTTTCAGAATTCTGAGGCGTTTTTAGTGATGTTGTCGTCCAGCTAGGCAGCCCACTTCAGCGAATCACGGCAAACAAGGAGATCGAAAATCTTCTCACACGTGTGTTCAACACTCGGGTCAGCTGGATGGCACTTGCACATGCGTTCAGTAGAAAAGGCATCACTTTTCCGACTATCCACTGTCGAGTTCATAACGTTTAGCGTTTGATATAAAGGGAAGGCTACCGCTCACTTTGGGAAACCAGGCGTTTCAAATCCGGCGTCTCGAAGTACTACTACCTGTGGTAAATACGTCCTGGAATTGTTTCTGCCTTTTCTCTGGCAAGACAGTTGTGCTGGCAATTCTGTTGCCCTCACTCGTCCATTTTCCGTTTGCTTCAGCTCATTGGAATCTGGAATCACAAGGCTCACCTTTTCCCTCAGCTGAAAGGGTTCATTCCTCCCCAGAGTAGCAGAAGTAACTTCCATTTCCACGCACTTCTTGGCTCCTCAACTTTGTTGTTCATTGACCTTTCGTTTAGCCATGGAGGCCTTCTGCCTTGCCCGACCAGCCCTTGTGGTGGCTCCCCGCACTATCCGCGCACTCCCAGTGCGGTCAGCGCGGTCGCAGGCGAGAGTGGTCTGCGCCATCAAGTTTCCGGGTTTTGGCTTCACTGCCAAGAATGAGAGCGAAGACAACGAATCTTACGCCGGAGCCGACTCCGCCACGACGTGAGCTTCCAGACCTTCGCCTGATGTCTATCAAAGCTTGACGCCACGGCGTTTTTTTTTCCAATGCTCCGTTCCCTGAGCGGCAATGCCACTTTAGAAGCCATTGGATTTTCTTTCTTGAGGTCCAAAGTTTTCGGCACTCATAGCTCGCCATTCTGTACCGTTTACCATCCCCAGTGTGTTCCCCGCGGAGGCGTGCGACGAGCTCGGAGGCGAGTTCTGCAATGCCGAGGGCGTGTTCGCTGAGGTGAAGCTGGAGTCGAAACCCGAGCCCGTGGTCAAGCAGGTCGAAGGGAGGGATGTCGGCGTGGTCGACTACGACGGCCCTAAGACGTACGTTCGGAGTTGCAATGTGATTCGCATTCATTTTAAATCTACCATGTTGAATGAATGCTATTAACTGTCACATGAAGCCTGACGACTAAGAAAGTCCTACAACGTACGTCCAAAATCGCAGTCCTTTTTGCATTGAAGAGTCCGTTTTGCATCAAGCATGTGGACCATACTCGCCACGTAAGAGCTGTTTCACGAATCAGTCGCTCGGATTTGTATCCAGGAGTACGTGGTTCGGGCGAGTAGCGTTGGCTTTCTCGTGGCTCTCAAATGGGCTCTTTTCTCTCTTTACTTATTGCTTCTTTCGTGCAGCGTTTTCCCCGGCGAGGCATGCGACGAGCTAGGAGGAGAGTTTTGCGAGCCTGATTACCAGGAGGGCGTTGGTCCCGAGAAGAAGCTCTGAGCGTAAAATAAGCAGTTATACTGGTTAGTACGAGAGTCATGATTGTAAATCCTTTTCTTTATTGCGCAATATCTCGATCCAAGTACCCGTCATATGGACCCGTTTCTTGCAAACAGGGCAACCAGGACCAACCGCGGCCGTTTCTAGAGTCTGACCATGCCTTTAAAAACCTTTGGCGAACCGTTTTCCCGCGTCCCTCCCTACCTCATTCCTTTCTGCATACGCGCACCATTTATCCCTCGCCTCTCTGTTTCTTTGAACAAGCCTGTTGTCCGTGACATTTGCCTCTCCCATCACCAGCTCAGCCTACTTGTCCTATTCTCTCGAAACCCTATCATCGCTTCCCCTCACGTTCCACCCCACTCCCCTATCGAACCTACCCTCCCTGCCCATCGATTCGCGCTTTCCCATTGGGAAAAGTTTAATCCCAGCCCAACACCGTTCACACACAATGCCTGAAAAGTAAGACATCACGCTATTGTCTGTTACTACGGTAGTCTCCATGTGGGTTCCGGACACTCGAAATGCAAGTATTCAGGCTGCTACGTAACTCTAGGTACCGTGAGTTCGGTCCTCATCAGGCGTAATGAGAATGAAACCGGTGCAGCCTCAGCTTGGGGAAACCCTGCTGGCGTGCCCTGAAGTCTGCTTGAAATGCGTTTGTGGCTGGGGTCAAAATGCCTACTGTATGCCGTGCCAAATCATCACACCCAGGCATTTACATCTCTTACCAGGAATATTTATGACTCGATCAGTAGAAGCGCAAACAAGTGTAGAAACCGCAGGCACGCACATTCACAGGTAGTTTTGCATTGGAATACACCTAGTTAGCAGGATCTACGATGGTACTGATTGTTTTCTTCACCTGGACAGTCATGTCTACTACGGTAGTCAATTGGTGCTAATTTCCAGGATTTCCTCGTAGCAGGTATGCAGTCCCTTTGCTTGGATGTAGTAGAAACAGACAGAACACTTTATATTGGAATGTTGTTTTTTATGCCCGATTGGATACCCGCGCTGACTGTATCTGTAGGTATGAAGCTGACTTCCTTGAGGGATACTGGAGTGATCATTGCATCTTGCTTTTGTCTAAGGAATGAAGGCAATCAAAAGGAAAACCAGAACGCAGACCTGAAAAATACAGCCTTGGATACAAATGCAGCACAGAACCCAGTTGATGAACCGTAGTCATTATATTAGCCATATAGAGGGCACGACAAAGCATCCTCAATGACACGGTTAGTTCCAAGGTAATCGAGGTTAATACTAAGGTGAATCTCCAACTGGCACGACGCGGGAAACCTTGATTTTACATTCCACAAGGAGTTCACCCGACCTCAAAAATCGATTTTCCACCCACCCAAGGACCTCCAACCTCCCAAGTCCGGCTGACGACTACCAGTTTCCACGGTTTTGCCTTCGAGGTAGAACTAGTATGGGGGAGTTTCATCACCGTCACAATCACATGGCCCTCGTATAGTCGACTCTCGAATATCTAGCTGGATTGTGAACAGAACTCAGTGGCCTCGCCTCCGCTGAAGTGGACGGTGGCTGATCCCGACAACGTACACACTCCTTTCTGCAGTATTTTGCCCAGTTCAACTCTAGGTCTTAGTCGCAGGAGCTTCAAGCGAGACGTAAATTGGTCACTATGTTGGTGAGGACGTACCAGCGGAAACGCAAAGGAGTACCGAGCGATTCAGATGACTCGTTTGCGGAGTCAGCGTCGCAGGACTCGCAGTCGTTCTTCTCGTCGCAGTCGCAGGAGTTCCAACTGAACGGTCTTGCCTCGTCCCAGGTACGAGCCTGTGGTTCCAGCCCGCGATCGGCTTTCTTTCTATGCATATCTGGAGAAAGAACAAATTAGACTACTAAACATGTGCATCTAACATGTACATGCTCCTTATGCTCCAATTTCACGTATCCTGCCTGCATTTGCGTGCAATTTTCAAGCCTGATTCCTGCTTGTCATTGTGTTTCTGCTTCACAGAACTCTGATTGGTCGCTAGTCGGCAGCGATGATCCCGAAGCCTTGCTGGATCGTCCACGTTCGTTCCACTGCAAGGCCACCCCCCCTGGTGGACTCTTCTCACCGGAATCCGAACCTCTGCACCACTCTTGTTCCGAACCTGATGCCTTTCGCGGGTTTCTGTCCCAGCCGTCACGCTCCAGCCTCCCAACTCCCGGACCCTCTCGCACGAGAATCGAACCCAACCGAGTAGAACCGCGCCGGCGATCGGCAGCAAGCTGGCGAAGCCAAACGGACGGTGGAGATGATTCCAGCGGCTTTTTGAACCACGTAAAATCGAAGAAAGGCGGTAAAGGGAACCAGAGTAAAGGGAGCCAGGGTCAGGGGAGAAAGCAAGGTAGGCGCGGCAAGGCAGATGGCCCATCCCAAGAGGCGGAGGTAGAAACCCTAGGGCAGCGGAGGCCGGGCAATAAGAAGGTGCAGGGGGATAGTGAGCGAGAGAGCGATGCAGAGGAAGATGAGCTTCGGGAGCTGGAAGCACTGTTTAAGTCTCCAGTGCACCGCAGCACGTTCTTGAAACAGAAGCAGAGCGGATCCCTCATGCCTGCCGCGGGAACTGCAGCCGCAGCAGCAGTAGCAGCGGTGGCAGCTGCAGCAGCAGGAGCCGCAGTGGCAGCAGCAGCCGGCACATCCCCACTGTGTTCACAGGAGCCGTATTTGCAAGACTCAGATTTTCCCGGGCCTAGAGGCGCCAGTCTATTGGAACCTGAGGAGTCAGATTTCCGGGGCCCTAGAGGGACGAGTCTGATGGAGGCGCAGGAGTTGGGTGAGATGATGGCCAGCTTGGATGAGGCCATGTTCGCACTAGATGGTCTGAAGCTGCGGCAGCCAATCAGGGTGCAGAGGTCAGCTGCCACGTCACTGGCGTCCATCTGCTCGGCTGTGGACCGCCGTCGCCTGCTGCGCTCGCAGGGGTGGGTTGGTTGGCTTGATGGTAGGAGGTGTCCTGCCACCTAAGATTCATGTTTCTCTCTGTTGTCACAGGGGTAGCTTGGTTCACTTAACTGTAGGCTTGGTTATTAAGGATTGATTCGCCTTAGGGTTGGTCTTGAAGGTTAGGTCTCATATTGCCATTGTTCCATGTCTCACACTTGCCCAATCTTGAGAATCTGCATAACTCAATTCACCTCTGTCCATGTCTGTTTCTCTGGTCTCGTTTGCAGGCTAATAAAGCAGATCATGGATGCTCTTCTGCTTCTCCCAATAACGGATCATCCTCTTGCGCTGGCCGCTGCCTCTATTTTTTTCTTCGTCTCCTCTGATGTGAGTGCCCGCCTGCCTACAAATGCGCCTGTCAATTTTCTGGCAGGGACTTTGGTGCCTGACTGAGCTTCTCACCATGCCTTACTTTGTGCCCTGCGTCTTTCCACCATGTTTATGCACGTTTCTTCTGGGGCTGTTGCTATGCTTCTTTTGCTGTCCCTTTTCTTCTTCTGTTCTTTATTTTCTCCTCCCTGACTCCCCATTCACCCACTCAGGACGTGGAAAGCGACTTCCCAGACCCGTCCCATGCGCTCAGCTTCCTTCTAGCCCTCTTGAAACACCACAGCGCCCCCGCCCCTCCACCTGCCGGCCCAGGCTCTCGTCCCGCACCTGCATCTGCATCTGCTGCCACTCGCGACCCATCTCCTCCTGCCAGGGCAAGATTCAGCTGGCGAGAATGCCCTGTCAAGGGGGGGGAGAGGCGGGAGGCGGAAGCTGCAGCAGCAGCAGAGTGTAAGGTCAGGAAGCTGTTTCCGAGAGGGTTTGGGGGAGTGCTTAGGGATGGGGAGGAGGAGGAAGGGGAGGGAGAGGGGCAGCGGGAGGAGGAAGGGGGAAGAGGCCGTGGTGGTGGTACTGGTGGTGCTGGTGCTGCTGGTGGTACCGGCGATGGTGATGGTGGTGGTGGTGGTGGGTCGTCGGATGTGACTGTTGTGGCGCTGGTGTTGGCCACGCTGAAGCGGATTTGCTCTTCTGTTATTGCCCTCCAAGGTCTCAACCCCCCTTTCTTGGGCACTCATTTGTCTCCAAGCTTTCAGCGCGCCACATCTGATGCTTTGGATGCGTCCGGGTTTCCCTTGGGGAGTCGCTACGAACGGCTCACTGACAAGGAGCATGCCTCTTCTCCTGTTCATTGCTTGTGTTTTGCTGGCTGGCTGGCTGGATGGATGGATGGATGGATGGATGGATGGATGGATGGATGGATGGATGGATGGATGGATGGATGGATGGATGGATGGATGGATGGATGGATGGATGGATGGATGGATGGATGGATGGATGGTGCTATACCGAAAACTGCAACGTCACCACGGCACTTTTGAGAATCCTGAAAAGTCGCACTGTTCCACATCCATCCTGCACTGGCCTCCCTTTCTCCCTCTTCTTTTTCTCCCTGATTCCTGATAGCAGCACCAGACAGCACCCTGCCGCCCTTCTCCACCGGTGGGCCTGGGCGGCATCAGCTCATGCGAGTGGGGCTCAAGGACGAAATGCGCCGCCTGGGAGGGCTGCAACTGGTGGCGGCCGTGGCTGCCAGGCACATGCTGCAGCTGGCACGCTCTACACTCCAGGTGAGGGATTGAGAGATGTTTCAAACCGACCACATTCCTCTCTAAGATGTCCTAAAGCGCTCTCAATCTGTTTATACGGGTGGGAGAATGGTACGACATAGAAATATTATTGGTCACTGAATCAAATCCAGGAGGATCGAGTCAATCAATTATATGCCTCTCCATCACCTTTCTGTCACTAATGAATCTGGCCTTCTTTTTCCCAGCCATGTGCAGGTGGCGTGGGAGAGGAAGCAGCAGCAGGAGATGTCAAAAGGCAGAAGCTGGGGAACAAGGAGCATGCACTCGGACTCAAGAAGAAGCACCACTTGCAGCAGCACCACAAGCGGATGGGTGGCTCTGAAGCAGCAGTAGCAGCATCAGCAGCCAACGAGGGACTGACATTTGGCGGAAGAATCTCCGCCAGTGCGGATGTGGCGACGAGCTGTTTGGGCGTGTTGGAGCATGTGACGTTCATGAGCCGCGATAACCAGGTGTGTGCTGCGTGTCCCTTCTGCTCGTTCCAAACCTCCTTTCAAGTCAATTGGAGCCGCTAGGCTGTGTAGAGTGCTGAAGGTCTGCGCATGGTTTTTTTCCTCCCCCCCCCCATCCCCCCCCCTCCCATTTAGTGATTCAATCTCAACATTGTTCAACATTTGTCTTTGCCCCACCAGACTCTCTCCTTGCTCACTGACATTCTCCCTGGAGTTGCTAATTGTGCTGACTAAATAATGAGCCCATTTCTACTTACCTCCATCCATGTATCCCCTCGCCCACCAGGACTATCTCATCCACCTCTCCTTGCCCACCGACACTCTACCTGGAGCAAAGCGAAGAAAGTTGTCCGGCTGCCACACCGCCTCTCCCGCTGCCGTGCCCCTCGTGGCCACAGTGGCCTCGAGTGGGGTTCTAGGGGAAGGGAGGGGAGTCAGCAGCAGTGAGCGGCCATTTCTTGCTCTCCTGTTGGAGTGCGTGGAACGCCTTGCAGGTGAACTCACTGCTGCTGCGCGATAACCGGCATTTTGATGCCTTCTCTTCTTTAAGACTCGAGTTTTTGTTTTTGTTTTTTTTTTTCCCTCCTTCGTGCTGTGCAAGCTGGCTCTTTCTTTACTCCTCTTCTCCGCCTTCCCCCGTTTTCCAACCCCGTACCCCCCCTTCTTAACCACCTTTCGCCCTTCCCGTCCCCCCTTTTCCGAATCCACTTTTCCCGCTTCGACCCACGTCCCCTCTTTCAGGTGGTGGGGCCGTTCATGGCTCAAGGGGCAAGGAGAGCGCTAGCTCTTCAGGAACAGATTCCGAGGGGGATGAGGGTAGAGCAGTGGGAGGGACAGTGGGGGCCAGGGGTGGGGGAAAGGTTATTCTGGGCGATGCTGTGCCTCTGGACTTGGGGCGAGAGGAGGGGAGTGAGGAGGGCGAAGAGGGGAGTGGGGAGGACGAGAAGGGAAGTGGGCGAAATAGGAGGAAGAGAGTGTGTGGGGTGGCTGCAAAGGGGAAGTCTGGTGGGGGGAGGAGAGGGGTCCAGGCAGGTGGCAAGGAGAGGGCATCCGCAGACCCGTTTTCCTTTGACCCATGGGAGGAGGAGGGTACAGGGAGGGTTGCAGGGAAGATTGCAGGGAGGGTTGCAGTTAGTGCTGCAGGGAGGGCAGGTGCAGGGAAGAGCAGCAGCGTTGATAAGGGGCAGCAGGGAAAGGCGTCTTACACTTCGGGCGCAAGGCGTAGTGCTGTGAAGGATGTTGTGCAAGAGCAAGAGCAGGGTGTAATGCTGGGAGAGGCAGTGGAGGGGGATTCTGATGAGGAGGAGGGATGGCGATATTGCAAGAATGGTGCTCATCTCATGGAGGTCAGGCATGGTGCTGTGGTGCTGGGGAAAGATGTGTCGGCAACAGAAGAGGACCAGGAGAAGGAGGGGGAAGGGGAGGAGGATGGGGAAGAGGGAGGGTTGGGAATCTGCAAGGATCGCTGTGGTGCAGTCGGGGCTCGCTGTGGTGCAGTCGGGGCTGGCAGTGGTGCAGTCGGGGCTCGCTGTGGTGCAGTCGGGGCTCGCTGTGGTGCAGTCGGGGCTCGCTGTGGTGCAGTCGGTACAGGAGGAGCAATTGTATTGGGCGAGGCGGTAGGGGAGGAGCAGGAGGGCTCTGATGAGGGGGGGTGGGAGGAATCTGGATTGAGTGGCAGGGGAAGGCACGGGCGAGCGAGTGGTGCGATTGGGGGCGGTTCAGGGGTGAGAGAGGGCGGTGATGGACGGCTGGGGAGGAGTGTGGGAGTGTTGAAGGATCCATATGAGTTTCTCATGGACTCACAAGTGGAGGAGGAGCTATTAGTGGGGGAGGTGCAGTTGTTGGGGGGGGATTGGGGGGGGATGGGGGGAGGGGAGGGGTGTGGGAAGGGGCGGGGTGGTGTGTGTGGGTCGGGGATAAGGCTGGGGGAGGAGGTGGAGGGATGGAGCAGTGGGAGTGATGGTGAGGGTGGTGGATTTTGTAGGCATGCATGCGTGGGGGGGAATGCGAGGAAGGTGCAACATAGGAGGGAACAAAATGGGAGGTCGCAAAACGGGAGGGCTCACGGCAAGAAGAAATGGGAGGAGAAGAGGCAAAGGAGGCATGGGGAGGGCGAGAAGGATCACCAGAACGGTTTGTCTACAAGGAATGGTTCCAGAAATGGTGCTTGCAACAGGAGACAGGGTGGTTGCATTGGTGGTGGTGGCGATAGTGATGGTGATAGTGATAGTGATAGTGATGGTGATGGTGATGGTGATGGTGGTGGAGATGTGAAAGAGAGGCTGTCAGTGCGGTCAAGGGCAGGCCGGCGGTTTGTGCTGGCAGCATGCAAGGTGCTCATGAACGTCACCAACCACAGTGCAGAGGGGTGCAGAGCGGTGGCAGGGGCGCATGGGATCGCTGTGGTGGCGTCTCTGGTTGCAGCCTGCTGCTCTGACCTCTGCTGGCAGCATGCCCTGGCATCTGCTGGGGCCCTGTCTCTGGCTGCAGGAGAGCCAGCTCTGGCAGCAGCTCCGGCAGCAGCTTCGGCAGCAGCTTCGGCAGCAGCTTCGGCAGCAGCTTCAACAGCAGCTTCGGCAGCAGCTTCGACAGTTCGCACAGGCCATGGGTCCGAGGGAACTGAGGCAGTGACAGCTGGAGCGTGTGGGTTGGACGATGGAGTGCAGGGGAGGGGGAAAGGGGCAATTAATGGGGGAGGGGATGACAGGGGGGAGTGTGATAAAGCTGAAAGGACTTGTGAGGGACGGGAAAGGGAGGGTGCAGGGAGCGGGGAAGGTGGGCACTGGGAAGGAGATGGTGACGTGCTGGTGGTGCTGCTGGGCCTGATAGTCAACCTGGTGGAAGCTGATGGTGACGCCAGGTATGTCTGGGTACTTTATGTGGTGCGTTTATGCTGTAAATGCTGGGCAGGGATGGTGGGCGTTGGGAGGGAGATGGTGACGTGTTGGTGGTGCTGCTGGGCCTGATCGTCAACCTGGTGGAAGCTGATAGTGACGCCAGGTATGGTTGTTGCTGAGAATGCTGGGTGGGTGCAATGGCAAAAACTTTCAGGGTTTAGGGTGTAATGTTGCCCCTATGTGTGCGTGCACTTGTCCTGGTGGTGCTGCTGGGTCTGATTGTCAACCTAGTGGAAGCTGATAGTGACGCCAGGTATGGCATACTGCAGATTTGTGTGATGAGTTCAGGGTGCTGAGAATGCTGGGTGCAGTAGCGGAGATGGGCGTGAAGCCCCTATATGTGTATGCACTCATGCTGGTGGTGCTTCTGGGTTTGATGGTCAACCTCGTGGAAGCTGATAGTGACGCCAGGTACGGCAGAGGCTGGGAATGCTGGTTTTGGTGCAATTCTAGAAACGGGTGTAGTGCACCTATATGTGCATGCGCTTTTTGAGTCGACTCAAAAATCGACTCAGCACACTTGGTGCAATTCCAGAAACGGGTGTAGTGCCCCTATATGTGCATGCGCCCGTGCGGTGCGGGTGGTGCTGGTGGGTGTTGTGTTAGCCTTGTGGAGGGTGATAGTGATGCCTGGTATGGGTGCTTCATTTGATGAGGTGATGCTGACACTGACAAGTGACAACAGCGGAAGCATGCATCTACCATGCACATACGTGTGCTTGCCCATGTGCATGTGCATGTGCATATGCATGTGCATGTTCATGTGCATGTGCATGTTCATGTGCATGTGCATATGCATGTGCATGTTCATGTGCATGTGCATGTTCATGTGCATGTGCATATGCATGTGCATGTTCATGTGCATGTGCATGTACTGTGGTCCTTGTGTTTGCATGGTCCATCTGACGGAAGCTCAGGGTGCCATGGCACCGGGTAGGCTGCTTCTGCTGCTGATTGTCCTGTGTGTGTGCTTCTATGCATATGTTCCGTTTGTGTGCGTCATCCCACCCACAACAACTGTTCCGCAGATCCCTACTGGCAGCAGCCACTTGCACGAGGCGAAAGCAGGGCCAGCTGCACTCCAAGCAGCACAGAGCCAGAGACTACAGCAAATACAGCACCCAGCAGCACAAGGCCCATGGAGACAGCATGCAGCAGCACAGTGCCACCAGCAGTGGGAGCGGTGGGCAAGAGCAGGCAGGGAGGGCAGAGGAGAGCGTGTCGATGGTGTCCCTCCTGTGCGCCATCTTTGCATCTCGCCAAAAAAGCTCCGAGCAGCAAAAGAAGCAGCAGCTGCAGCAGCAGCAGCAGCAGCAGCAGCAGCAGCAGCAGCAGCAGCAGCAGCAGCAGCAGCAGCAGCAGCAGCAGCAGCAGCAGCAGCAGCAGCAGCAGCAGCAGCAGCAGCAGCAGCAGCAGCAGCAGCAGCAGCAGCAGCAGCAGCAGCAGCAGCAGCAGCAGCAGCAGCAGCAGCAAAAGGAGAGGCAGGATTTCGCTGCCAAATGTCAGATTTCGGAGCGCTCCAGCCACGAGGAAAGGAGCGCGGCGGTGGTGAGAGGGAGTGAGGGTGCAGAAGAGATGGGAATGGCGGAGCAGAGGCGACTGGCGGAGCGGGAGGTGGAGGAGCTGCAGATGAGCGTGCTGGGGCAGGGCGAGATGGTGCTGCAGGTGGAAACGATGGGAGGTGTGGGGACTGGAAAGGAGGAGATGGGGAAGGCCATGGGGGAGGAGATGGGGTCGGGCGAGATGGTGATGTCGATGATGGTGGAGGGGGCAGTGGAGGCGGAGCAGCTGATCATGGAGTCACATGCTGCTCTGCTGCTCGGATTGCTGGCGCAGCACAGGTGTGTGTGTTTGGTGTGGTGGCGTGCTGGTGTGTGTGTGGCATGTTGCTGTGGTTCGAAAAATACGTCTACAATGCGCCTCGCAGAGAGCTTTTGGAGAAGCCAGAAAAACACACTCACCAGGCTAAGGCCGCGGTGTCTCAGAGATTTTTTCAAGATTTCTAAAAATTATCTCAAAGGCTAAGGCCGAGTTGTCTCTACAAGGTGACTCGAATGGAAGATGTATGTATGTATGAGCAAGGCCCGGGCAGGCGAGCAAGGCCAGGGCAGGCGAGCAAGGCCAGGGCAGGTGAGCAAGGCCCGGGCAGGTGAGCAAGGCCCGGGCAGATGAGCAAGGCCCGGGCAGGTGAGCAAGGCCCGGGCAGGTGAGCAAGGCCCGGGCAGGTGAGCAAGGCCCGGGCAGGTGAGCAAGGCCCGGGCAGGTGAGCAAGGCCCGGGCAGGTGAGCAAGGCCCGGGTAGGTGAGCAAGGCCCGGGCAGGTGAGCAAGGCCCGGGCAGGTGAGCAAGGCCCGGGCAGGTGAGCAAGACCCGGGCAGGTGAGCAAGGCCACGACCGAGCTGTATGAGGCTCTAGCATTGTAGCCACCTTCCACATTTTCACATCACGTCACATCCCACAGTGCCCTCCTCGTTATAATCGCCCTCGTCATAGTGGCCGCTCAGTGCCATTGTTTCGTGCGCTGCACTGCATTTTTATGTCCGGTTTGGCCAGCCTCAGATCTCTACCTTTTCTTCAAAACCCCCTCTCCCCTCCCTTCCCTCTCCCTTCCCCCCCCCCCCGTCCCCTCCGCCTTCCTTCCTCTCTTCCCCCCTGCAGCGAGGCTGTCTGTCACTCCATCTGCCGCCAGCTGCCAGGCTCCTCCCTCCACCCGCTGGCTCCTGTTCTGCGGCAATTCATGGTGAGCCTATTATTACGAATCAGTTCCATTAGAGAGCTTGTAGAAATCACGAGTGGTGATAAGGATGTGCACTAACAAAGTGTTTGCTGTGATAAAGTATTGGCCTCACGCTCTCCCTCTCGATCCTTATATCACCATTCGTTCATGGCGGCGTGGTGCACCGCAGGCGTTCCATGACAGTGTGGGAGCACTCACTGACGAGTCACGACAGCTGCTGCGCCAAGTCATTGTCTTCTGTGCTTCTCACAAGCAGGTCTAGTCTCACAAGCAGGAGTATTAGTCGCATGACTGAAGTAACTGAATGTGGCAGTTGACAGTTTGGGCATGGCAGTGTGGCCATGGCAGCAGGATGACACCTTTCCCAGTGAGGCACAGAAGACAATGGTGATGCTGCACTGAGTCATCATTGTCTTGCAATGCTCTCATGGGTGGCAGCAGGATCGACAAGAATGAGTGGGTGGGTGGCAGCAATCAAGATGGAAGGAGCAGCAGGACAGGGGAGCAGCCGACTGGGTAACATGGGAAACCCTAGCACACTAAGGTTGTCTTGTCTATTCTTTTATTCTTTCATCTCGGCATTGATTGACACAACAGAGTACAGTCACTTTACTTTCTCAAGCATTTCGGTGAATCTCACAATACCAAGGAAAAGGGAGGTGCACACAGTAGTTCAATTGAACTCCATGCCTAACTAGCATGTTCTCCTTTCCTTCTGCTCCCACACAAAGCACGTTGCAGTCTAAATTCATGTTTGAGAATTCTCATTAGAGCCCCACAGGCTGTTCCCTCTCTCCATCCTTTGCCTACATCCTCCTCCGGTCCCCATTCCCCCTGGTTCAGAAACCCATGGCACAGCCATCTGCTCGCCCCTCCGACCCCCCCCACAGCACGCCACTCCCCCTCTCCCTCACAATCACCTGCCCCTTCCCAAACACCTCCCTCGCCTCCCCCCTCACCACCTCCACCTGATGCCCCCTCCTCCTCAACTCCTCCGCCACGTCATCCCTTCCCAGCCCCTCCTCAATCGCCACGTGGCTCTCTCTTACTGGCCCAGGTCCGTGTCCAGGCGGGTCGAGGGAGGGGAGGCCAGAGAGGCAGAAGCGGGGGCGGTCGAGGGCGGACTGGGGGTTGAGGGAGAGCAGGGCGAGGCTGGTTACCACCTGTAGGTGGCCTTGCGGTTGCATGAACCCGCCCATAACCCCGAACGTGCAGTGCAGGTCCCCTGCTGGTACCCCTTCGTCTGCTCTTGACTCTTCTGCTGCTTTCTCTCCTCCTGCTGCTGCTGCTGCCGATGCTCCCGCTGCTGCTGCTGCTGCTCCCTCTGCTGCTGCTCCTCCTGCTGCCGATGAAGCCGCTGATGCTGCTGTTGCTGCTGCGGGAGAGGGGGTAACCCCCCACGTGGCGAGACCAGGAATGATGGTGTGGTAGGGGCGCTTACCAGGAGCCAGGCAGTTGGGATGGGAGGGATCCAGGGAGAAGTTATGCCCGCGGTTCTGCAGAGGAAAGCCGCACCCCTGGGGGACAATTCCCGTGCCAAAGCCCATGTAGTTTGAGTTGATCATGCTGCACGCGTTGCCCTCCCCGTCCACCGCGCAGAAATACACCGTATCAGTCCCCACTCCTCCCCACGCCCCAATCCCTGGCTCAACGATCGCTGCCCGTGTTAGATCTATCTCCCCAGCTCGTTTGGCTGCATACTCCTTAGATAAAGCCTCCCCCAGAGGCACCTGCACGTGCTCTGGGTCAGCCACACACGCCAGCGCATCTGCAAACCCCATCCGCATAGCCTCGATCATCACATGCGCATAATCCGCCTCCCCCTTGACCCACCCCTCCCGAGCCTCGCCCGCAGCTTCGGGGCCCGCTCCCCGAGCCTCCCGGACAGGCTCGGGAACACCGTGCGTGGAGTAGTAAGCCTCGGTGATGTTGAGAGCGATGAGAGCGGCCAGGCCGTGGGTGGGGGGAGGGACCTCCCAGATGGTGAGGCCGTGGAAGGTGGTGCTGATGGGCGGGGCCACGGAGGAGGTGTGGGAGGCCAGGTCTTGCAGGGAGAGCACCCCGCCCTGGGCCTGCACTGCTGTGACTATCGCTTCGGCTACTGGGCCTGTGTAGAAGCCCTCCTTGCCTTTCTCTGATGGGGGGACGGGGTAGAGGGAACGTAGAGAAGGATCAAGTACGGTATGAGGCTCTGCAGCGAGAGGTCACGCAGAGAGAGCAGTCCCCTCTGGGCCTGCACTGCTGTGACTATTGCTTCCGCCACCGGGCCTGTGTAGAAGCCCTCCTTGCCCTGCTCTGGTGGAGGAACGGGGGAGAGGGACCTTTGAAGAATGCAAGGAATGATTCCGGGGAGGAAATGTATGTCCCAAAACGGAAAGCACGGCATTGGCCATTACTCGCAAGGCGCAAACTGACACTCCAGCAGTCAACGCACCTCCCAGCAGTCAACGCACCTCCCAGCAGTCAACGCACCTCCCAGAAGTCAACGCACCTCCCAGAAGTCAACGCACCTCCCAGAAGTCAACGCACATCCCAGAAGTCAACGCACCTCCCAGAAGTCAACGCACCTCCCAGCAGTCAACGCACCTCCCAGCAGTCAACGCACCTCCCAGCAGTCAACGCACCTCCAAGCAGTCAACGCACCTCCCAGCAGCCTCAGTGTGTTGCCCATGCCCGGGTTCCTCATCACCTCGCCAGCCCTCGGCGCCCTCTCCCCGTCCACCAATAGCTCGCCGCCATGTGGCCCTCCCTGCTTCAACTGCCACGTGGATCAGAGGGTGTCCAGCACAGAAAAATGCCAATTTCATGCTGATAATGAATTATCTTCTGAGACGTCTCAACATTGATCATCCCATGCTCTGAAGCAAAAGGGTGCCAATCCTGTCCGTGCCCCACGTCGCACAGACCTGCTCCACGCCTCTCTCCCACTGTCCAGCTGTCAGCGGCGGCACGGGCCAACCGCCTTCCGCCAGCTGTACGGCCGGCTCGAGCGCCTCGCGGAGCGACACGTGGCGCGATCCGAACCGTTGGATGGCGTCGGCCCAGCAGGCGGCGGCGCCGGGGACGGTGACCGTGAGGGGGTGGAAGGGGGGAAGCGGGTGCGCGGGGGAGAAACCGAGTGTGGCGAGGTGGGAGAGCGAGAGCGCGGCGGGGCAGCGGCCGTTGCCCTGAATACTGTGGACCGTGCGCGTTGATGCGCGGTAGAAGAGGAGGAAGGCGTCTCCGCCTGGGGTTTGTGGGTAGGGGAAAGGGGGAAGGGAGGGTGGGAATGGGGAGTGAAGGAGATTAGAGTGAGTGAGCGGGAGGAAAGACGTGGGCGGGATGCATGTACCGCGGGGGTTGAGGCGCGGGGGTGCCGCGGGGGTTGAGGGGCGGCAGAAAGGAGGAGAGGCGCCACCAGTTGCAGTCACGGGCCGCGTAAGGGATAGTGAACAGTGTGGGCGGTGTGGACGGTGCAGATTGGGGTGAGGCTGAAGATCGGAAAGGCGTTGCCGCCTGATCGAAGATTGTCGATGTGATTCCCACCTAGGCCGGTGCTGCACGGTTCGCACACCGCAAGCGCCGCCGCCATGGCGACCGCCGCGTCCGCCGCGTTGCCGCCGGCCCGCAGAATGCGGAGGCCGGCTTCGCTGGCGAGCGGCTGCGACGACGCGACCATCCCGCGCGTCGCGAGGACGGGCGAGCGGCGCGACGGCCACGCATAGGGATCTCCGGTGAACATGGCGAGTGCGGATTTGTTCGGCGCGAAAGGCGAAGAGGTTGCCAACATGTGGGGTTGCGGCAACATCGAGGATGATATGTGGCATATGCCCTTCTTATTGTCAGACCTCGTGACCCGGTTTTGTGCGCCAAAATAGCGATTACTTGAGTTAAAAGGCATGGGAGGAGATTCCTCCCGAAAATGCACAAATTACCGACGTGAGCAAATGAGGTGGCCACTTTCAAAACATTACCTTCACGAAATGAACACTTCAAAGTTCACATTTGCGAATTGGTCTGCATGGCAAGGCAACTCTTCAGAGAATTCACCATTGTATGTACCAGCAGTAACGTATTCATTCCCAAACTAGCATTCATGAAACGTCGAGATTGCATACAATATCGGGAATAACAAAACGCTTCAACTGACTGACTTGGAACCTGGAACAGTGTAGTGTAATACGGTACGAAGACAGGCACCATTTACAAATCAACCCTTCCTTCCCAGCGCAAACACCAATCAGCAGCACACACCTTCCCTCAAACTCTCCAGCTCCAAACCACCCCAAGTTCCCAACCTCCCCCTCCTCCCCTCCCCTCCTCCCCCCCCCCCCCCCCCCCCCCCCCCACTCTCGCTACATCTAAGCCACGGGCAGGCACACTAAAGCCCAGGAGCACGTCTCGCCGCCCCTTTCCCCTTCTTCACACCCGGCATGACAATCCGCTCCGCCTCCCTCACAGTCTGCTCCTCGTCCTTCCTGCGTCTCATCTCCTCCTCCACCTCCCTCTTCCGCCTCGCCTCCGCCATCTCCCGCTCCATCGCACTCGCCTCCTCCCGCAGCTTCTGCTTCTGCTGCAGCCTGCTCTGATGACTATCCTTCACACTGAAAAACATCGGCCCGGCCTCCGCCAACCATCTTGGCTCAACAGCCGTCACACACTGCATGTATTCCTTCGAAGTGAGCACCAACTCATGGTAAACCACATACTCCGGGGTCGTTCCGAGCCCGTAAAGCGCGCTCGTGGGGTGCAGGTGACAGGGAGTGCCGGTGCGGCAGCTGGCATACTCCCCCACGCCTTTCAGCTTCGCCGCGTGGTGGAAATACGCCGTGCAGATCGCCCGCCGCACCACATCCCAGTCCTGCCCCGCGCTAGACAGCGGAATCTTCTGCTGCTTGAGGATATCAGCTAGTTGGGCTCGCACCTCCCGGGCTTTCCTCAGGCCTTTCACGTGAAGGTAGTGGTCGGAGCACCAGTCGCCGCGATACCCGTTGGACTTCCACTGCTGGAAGACATTTAGGAGCGTCAGGTGGTCGCTCTCGGGCACGAAAAACTTCTCCCGGGCAGCGTCAGACTCCTCTTCGCGGTCCTTGGGGCGGAAGAAAACCGACGGCACCGAGAGCATGGCCACCATGGTCAACGTCTCGTTCACACACCCAAACTGATCCCCGGATATCAACAGCTTCGCCAGAGCAGGGTCTAAAGGAAATTCCACCATCCGCCTCCCCGTCTTGGTCAGTGCTCCGGTATTGTCCAGCGCTCCTAAGATCCAAAGCTGGTACATAGAGTTCAGAATGTTCTCCTGAGGAGGAGGGTCAAGGAAGTCAAAATCCAGGAGGTTGTCGATGTTGAGGGATTTCAGCAGCAGCACGACATTCCCGAGGTTCGTGCGCTGGATCTCCGGGACTGGATTTGCCAGCATCTCGTTCGCGTAGGCGGTTTCTGTGTACAGCCGGTAGCACGTTCCCGGACCTGTCCGTCCGGCTCGGCCGGACCTCTGGTCGGCCGCGGCTCGGCTGATGGGGAAGACCTGTAGCGCGTCCATACCCATGCGGGGGTTGTAGACCTTGATCTTGCTGTATCCACCGTCGATCACGTACAGAATCCCATCAACGGTCAGCGACGTCTCGGCGATGTTCGTCGCAACGATGCATTTCCTGGTACCTTCCTCGGCCTTCTGGAAAATCTTCGCTTGGAGATCGGCCGGCAGCTGGGAGTAGATTGGGAGGATGGAGAGGGGCGGCGGGGGGCGGGCGGCGCCGGCCGCCATTTGCTCGAGGCGGTCGGCGAGGGAGAAACAGGTTGCCTCGATGTCTTCTTGGCCGGTCATGAAGATGAGGATGTCGCCAGGTGGCATGGTGACGTGGATGGCTAGCGCTTGCTTGACTGCCGCGTCTACAGGGTCCTCACAAGGCGACTTGCTCCACATGATGCTCACTGGGAAGGTGCGCCCTGGGATGAAGAAGACCGGTACGCTGCAAGAAAGGAAGGTAGAGGAGATGGGGGAAGGAAGTGAGGGGTTAAGGATGAGAGAGGGGCTTGCTTCACATGAGACTGACGGGGAAGGTGCGCCCTGGGATGAAGAAGACTGGGACACTGGGGGAAAAGAAGACGGGAGTTGCAGCGGGGAGGAAGGTAGAGGGAGGGAGGAGTGGAATGGTGTGAGGATGGTCTATAGTGGTTTCATAGAGGGGACCCATGAGTCGACTAAAAAAGGAACGCATGTCACCTATTAAGGAACGCAGAAACCATGCACTTGCACTGCACACAACAACAGGCAGGGAAACCCACAAGCAGTGCGCTCTCAGGTACTGAGGGATCGCTGCAAGCAAGACACTGAATGGATGCCCTACTAGTCGCAGCACCCCTCACCTGCCCCAGCACCCCTCACCTGCCCCAGCACCCCTCACCTGCCCCAGCACCCCTCACCTGCCGAAGAAGTGGGAGAACTTCTCAGCATTGAGCGTGGCGGACGTGACGATGAGCTTGAAGTCCCTTCGTCTCGCCGCCACGTGCTTGAGCACCCCGAACAGCACGTCCGTGTTCAATGAGCGCTCGTGTGCCTCGTCCATTATGATGGCACTGTGGGTGAGGGGGGAGAGGGAACGAGAGCGTTGGAGGAACGGGGGGAGGCAGTTCAGGACAGTTTGTGGTTACAAAACGCTCAGAGGCCCTGATTGATCGGACACGATGGCACACAGAGAGACGACATGCACCACCTACCCAGTATAGGCGCAAAGGCAAAGGCATGGCAAGAGCATGGCATACACCTGTATAGGTCAGGCAGAGGCAGAGGCAGAGGCAGAGGCAGAGGCAGAGGCAGAGGCAGAGGGAGAGGCAGAGGCAGAGGCAGAGGCAGAGGCAGAGGGAGAGGAAGAGGTAGAGGTAGAGGCAGAGGTAGAGACAGAGGTAGAGGCAGAGGCAGAGGTAGAGGTAGAGGCAGAGGTAGAGGCAGAGGTAGAGGTAAAGGCAGAGGTAGAGGCAGAGGTAGAGGTAGAGGCAGAGGTAGAGGCAGAGGTAGAGGCAGAGGTAGAGGTAGAGGCAGAGGCAGAGGCAGAGGCAGAGGTAGAGGTAGAGGTAGAGGTAGAGGCAGAGGCAGAGGCAGAGGCAGAGGTAGAGGCAGAGGCAGAGGCAGAGGCAGAGGTAGAGGTAGAGGTAGAGGTAGAGGTAGAGGTAGAGGTAGAGGTAGAGGAAGAGGGAGCGGGCGGGGCACACACCTGTACTGGTCGAGGTCCGGCTCTCTGAGCGACTCCCTCAGCAGCACTCCCTCCGTCATGTACTGATGTTGGTGGAAAAGAGGGGGGTGAGAAGAGAGTGTGAGCAGAGAGGCACGGGACGACCAGCTGCTACAAAGTCCACCAGATCGTTTAGCACCACACAGCACCACACAGTACCACACAGCACCACACAGTACCCGCACCACACAGCGCCTCAGACACGCACAAATTTCTCATCTCATTGGCTGCGCAGCACCACACAGCACCTCGGAGCGAGAGTGCGTAAGTGTTTAGTCCGTGCTGGTGCCTCGTCATCGAGAAATCATATGGTCATCACTGGCAGGCAGTACCAAAGATCGAGCCTCATTTCTGGATCAACCCAGAAGTCGCCTTGCATCACTGAGTTACCTGTGTGTGTCGACCCGTTTCTGAGTGATAAAAGTGTTGTTCTGAGACGTCTCAAAACAACACTTTTTATCACCTTGCATCACTGAGTTACCTGTGTCGACCCGTTTCTGAGTGACCCAATGTAAGAATCATCATCATCGGCAGCATCGCATTGCAGCATGGTGGTGGCCTTTTACAGGTGGCATAGCAGGACCACCCTTACATCCCCCTTACAACCCATCTCAACCCCCCTGCACAAGAGATTTGCTGCTGGTGACATCTTCAACGCGAATGGCATAGCCCACGGTGGACCCCACCTCGCACTCCATCTCATTCCCTCCCTCTCCCCCTTCCCATTCCACACTGCCTTACATCACCTCGCCCCTACTATGCTCCACTCACCTTCACGAGAGTGTTGCTGCTGCTGACGTCTTCAACGCGAATGGCATAGCCCACGGTGGACCCCACCTCGCACTCCATCTCATCCGCCATCCACTCCCCCCTTTCCATTCCACACACACCACCACCCACCTTCACAAGAGTGTTGCTGCTTGTGACGTCCTCGAAGCGTATGGCATAGCCCACAGTGGACCCCAGCTCGCACTCCATCTCATCCGCCACGCGCTTGGCCACACTCATCGCTGCCACGCGCCGCGGCTGTGTGCACCCCACCATGCCGTATGTGGTGTAGCCATCCTCGTGCAGGTACTGGTGGGCCAGTAGGTACGGGGATAGGGGTTACGGATTAAGCTGTTAAGACAAACATGCAATTCATTGTGCGCGGCTGCGTGCACCCCACCATGCCATACGTGGTGAAGCCGTCCTCGTGCAGGTACTTGTAGGTGGGAGAGGGTTTGGAAACAAACGTGAATCGGTTTTGAATGGGCTGCACTGCATGCATCCCACCATGCCACACATGGTGTGACCGTCCTCCTGCGCATGTACCGCGAGCAGCTCACTCACATGGGTACAAAAACAAACGATTCAGCTACTAACGGGGACAAATGAAAAACAGAGTGTTTGGATAGGTGCTTGATTCTTTTTTTGTTAGAGTAACACATAAAAATGCCATAGAAAAGGATACAGTAAGGGCGAGAGCACCACACCACCCAACCTTGTCCTCGCACTAGTTCTGAGTCACCCTGAGGCGCTCACCTGGGTCATTTGTGTTGTGCCACGTCTATCCCAACACTCACCTGTGTCATCTGTGTTGTTTTGCCAGAGCCTGTCTCGCCCACCACCACCACAATCTGGTGACTTTTGAGGCAACTCATATACTCATCTTGTGCCACGTCCCAACACTCACTCACCTGCGTCATCTGTGTTGTTTTGCCGGAGCCTGTCTCGCCCACCACCACCACAATCTGGTTCTCGCGAATCACCTGCGGTGGTGAGACACGCCACACAATGGGCAAAGCGAGGCATGAAGGCATGAGGGGCGCCGGGATGAGTGGCACAGATGCATGAGAAAGGCACACCAACATGCTTTTTCCAGACTGACCGGACCAGAGGTAGGTACACACACGCGCAGCTGTTCCTGGACGTTAAGGGGCACATACACTCGAGCGAAGCACCCGTCTGTCTGCACGTTCTTATCCCTCTGAGGTTATCTGAGACATCCCTCATCTCATCCCATGCAGGTACATCCCTTGTCAGACGTCTCAACTCAAACCTAGTCCCACCTGCAAGAGCTCGGCCCTGACAGAATAAATGAGGTAGAGGCACTGCTCCGCGATGGACTTAATGAGGGCCAATATGTTGTGAGACGCCTCCATTTCTCTAAGGTTTCTCACCCGCGCAAGCTCGTCCCTCACGCGTGGAATAGCTGGGGGCAGGTGCATGCACTGTATTCATCTCAATCCTAGTGGTGACTCACCTGCAGCAGCTCGTCGCGCACGGAGTAGATGGGCAGGTACATGCGCTGCTCTGCCATCGACTTGTTCTTGGCAAAGTCACTGGAAGCGCCCTGTGCTTTGAGTTGAGAGCTACACACGCACAGCAGCGTAAACTCAGTGGTGCCTCTCACCTGCAGGAGCTCGTCGCGGACAGAGTAGATGGGCAGGTACATGCGCTGCTCGGCTATCGACTTGTTCTTGGCAAAGTCACTGGCAGCGCCGCCCGTGCTCTTCATGTGGTCGGCGAACTTCACATTGTCCTTATAGTCCACCTCGCCCTCCGCGTCCACCTTGGCTGTATCCGCATCCACCTGGTGGGATCATTTCAGGTTGGGGGTTCGGGGGTTTATGGATTCAGCTGCATACTTCACATTGTCCTTATAGTCCACCTCACCTTCCGCGTCCACCTGGTGGTGGGAGCAACATGGGGGTTTGGATTGTTTGGAAGGTTGAAGGTTCAGGGCCTGAAGGCTCATTTTGCCAAATCCCCATTGTCCTTATGGTCCACCTTGCTCTCCTCAATTTTTGAGGCTCCTCAAAAATAGGTTCAGCGGCTGAAGGCTCTGTTTGCCAAATCCACATTGTCGTTATGGTCCATCTTGCTCTCCTCGTCCACCTTGGCTGTATCCGCATTCACGTGGTGGGAAGGGCGGCATGAGGGGTTTGGGATCATTTCATAGAAAGAAGTCTTTTGAGGTGCCTCAAAAGTCATGAGGGGTTTGAGATAATTTCATCGAAAGAATCGTGAAAGTGAGGCTCCGGCATGTGGCATGTGGCGTGTGTGTGTGCGTGCGTGTGGCATGTTGCATGTGGCATGATCTGATGTGGCATACCGCATGTGGCATGATCTGATGTGGCATACCACATGTGGCATGATGTGTGATGTGTAGCGTGTCGCAGGTGGCATGCGCATGCCACATGCGTGCCACGTGCTTGCTTGCAGCACCACTCCACAGGTGTCCACCCACCCACCCACACGCGTTCACACTTCCCCACATGCCCATGCATGCTCTCAATGCCTATCATATGACACTCACATCAGCGGCAGATTTCTTGGCGCCGAGAATGTTCCCCAGCTTGCTTCCTGCAAGTTCCCAGAACTTCTGCCTGCTCTTGTTCTGCTGCTGCTTCTCCCGAATCTGCGGGGGGCACAAGAGGGCAGGCGGGACAGGACGACAGGAAAATGGATGGTGGGTGAGAAACAGGAAAGAGGGACATCTGAAGACAACTCCGTGCACTGAGTTGAAGAACCCAGCAAACACCACGCCACGGACATCGCCGGTAAAACTCCACGGACATCCATAGCAGGTAAAACTCCACGGACATCCATAGCAGGTAAAACTCCACGGACATCCATAGCAGGTAAAACTCCACGGACATCCATAGCAGGTAAAACTCCACGGACATCCATAGCAGGTAAAACTCCACGGACATCCATAGCAGGTAAAACTCCACGGACATCCATAGCAGGTAAAACTCCACGGACATCCATAGCAGGTAACACTCCACGGACATCCATAGCAGGTAAAACTCCACGGACATCCATAGCAGGTAAAACTCCACGGACATCCATAGCAGGTAAAACTCCACGGACATCCATAGCAGGTAACACTCCACGGACATCCATAGCAGGTAAAACTCCACGGACATCCATAGCAGGTAAAACTCCACGGACATCCATAGCAGGTAAAACTCCACGGACATCCATAGCAGGTAAAACTCCACGGACATCCATAGCAGGTAAAACTCCACGGACATCCATAGCAGGTAAAACTCCACGGACATCCATAGCAGGTAAAACTCCACGGACATCCATAGCAGGTAACACTCCACGGACATCCATAGCAGGTAACACTCCACGGACATCCATAGCAGGTAAAACTCCACGGACATCCATAGCAGGTAAAACTCCACGGACATCCATAGCAAGTAAAAAAGAGTATGGCACAAGTGAACACACAACCCTCAGGCCCCTCCCTGACTTCACCACCCACCCACGCACACCCCCTCGCTGACTTCACCACCCACCCACGCACACCCCCTCGCTGACTTCACCACCCACCCACGCACACCCCCTCGCTGACTTCACCACCCACCCACGCACACCCCCTCGCTGACTTCACCACCCACCCACGCACACCCCCTCGCTGACTTCACCACCCACCCACGCACACCCCCTCGCTGACTTCACCACCCACCCACGCACACCCCCTCGCTGACTTCACCACCCACCCACGCACACCCCCTCGCTGACTTCACCACCCACCCACGCACACCCCCTCGCTGACTTCACCACCCACCCACGCACACCCCCTCGCTGACTTCACCACCCACCCACGCACACCCCCTCGCTGACTTCACCACCCACCCACGCACACCCCCTCGCTGACTTCACCACCCACCCACGCACACCCCCTCGCTGACTTCACCACCCACCCACGCACACCCCCTCGCTGACTTCACCACCCACCCACGCACACCCCCTCGCTGACTTCACCACCCACCCACGCACACCCCCTCGCTGACTTCACCACCCACCCACGCACACCCCCTCTCTGACTTCACCACCCACCCACGCACACCCCCTCGCTGACTTCACCACCCACCCACGCACACCCCCTCGCTGACTTCACCACCCACCCACGCACACCCCCTCGCTGACTTCACCACCCACCCACGCACACCCCCTCGCTGACTTCACCACCCACCCACGCACACCCCCTCGCTGACTTCACCACCCACCCACGCACACCCCCTCTCTGACTTCACCACCCACCCACGCACACCCCCTCTCTGACTTCACCACCCACCCACGCACACCCCCTCGCTGACTTCACCACCCACCCACGCACACCCCCTCGCTGACTTCACCACCCACCCACGCACACCCCCTCTCTGACTTCACCACCCACCCACGCACACCCCCTCTCTGACTTCACCACCCACCCACGCACACCCCCTCTCTGACTTCACCACCCACCCACGCACACCCCCTCGCTGACTTCACCACCCACCCACGCACACCCCCTCTCTGACTTCACCACCCACCCACGCACACCCCCTCTCTGACTTCACCACCCACCCACGCACACCCCCTCTCTGACTTCACCACCCACCCACGCACACCCCCTCGCTGACTTCACCACCCACCCACGCACACCCCCTCGCTGACTTCACCACCCACCCACGCACACCCCCTCTCTGACTTCACCACCCACCCACGCACACCCCCTCGCTGACTTCACCACCCACCCACGCACACCCCCTCGCTGACTTCACCACCCACCCACGCACACCCCCTCGCTGACTTCACCACCCACCCACGCACACCCCCTCGCTGACTTCACCACCCACCCACGCACACCCCCTCGCTGACTTCACCACCCACCCACGCACACCCCCTCTCTGACTTCACCACCCACCCACGCACACCCCCTCGCTGACTTCACCACCCACCCACGCACACCCCCTCTCTGACTTCACCACCCACCCACGCACACCCCCTCTCTGACTTCACCACCCACCCACGCACACCCCCTCTCTGACTTCACCACCCACCCACGCACACCCCCTCGCTGACTTCACCACCCACCCACGCACACCCCCTCGCTGACTTCACCACCCACCCACGCACACCCCCTCTCTGACTTCACCACCCACCCACGCACACCCCCTCTCTGACTTCACCACCCACCCACGCACACCCCCTCTCTGACTTCACCACCCACCCACGCACACCCCCTCGCTGACTTCACCACCCACCCACGCACACCCCCTCGCTGACTTCACCACCCACCCACGCACACCCCCTCTCTGACTTCACCACCCACCCACGCACACCCCCTCTCTGACTTCACCACCCACCCACGCACACCCCCTCGCTGACTTCACCACCCACCCACGCACACCCCCTCGCTGACTTCACCACCCACCCACGCACACCCCCTCTCTGACTTCACCACCCACCCACGCACACCCCCTCTCTGACTTCACCACCCACCCACGCACACCCCCTCTCTGACTTCACCACCCACCCACGCACACCCCCTCGCTGACTTCACCACCCACCCACGCACACCCCCTCGCTGACTTCACCACCCACCCACGCACACCCCCTCTCTGACTTCACCACCCACCCACGCACACCCCCTCTCTGACTTCACCACCCACCCACGCACACCCCCTCTCTGACTTCACCACCCACCCACGCACACCCCCTCGCTGACTTCACCACCCACCCACGCACACCCCCTCGCTGACTTCACCACCCACCCACGCACACCCCCTCTCTGACTTCACCACCCACCCACGCACACCCCCTCTCTGACTTCACCACCCACCCACGCACACCCCCTCGCTGACTTCACCACCCACCCACGCACACCCCCTCGCTGACTTCACCACCCACCCACGCACACCCCCTCTCTGACTTCACCACCCACCCACGCACACCCCCTCTCTGACTTCACCACCCACCCACACACACCCCCTCTCTGACTTCACCACCCACCCACGCACACCCCCTCGCTGACTTCACCACCCACCCACGCACACCCCCTCGCTGACTTCACCACCCACCCACGCACACCCCCTCTCTGACTTCACCACCCACCCACGCACACCCCCTCTCTGACTTCACCACCCACCCACGCACACCCCCTCTCTGACTTCACCACCCACCCACGCACACCCCCTCGCTGACTTCACCACCCACCCACGCACACCCCCTCGCTGACTTCACCACCCACCCACGCACACCCCCTCTCTGACTTCACCACCCACCCACGCACACCCCCTCTCTGACTTCACCACCCACCCACGCACACCCCCTCGCTGACTTCACCACCCACCCACGCACACCCCCTCGCTGACTTCACCACCCACCCACGCACACCCCCTCTCTGACTTCACCACCCACCCACGCACACCCCCTCTCTGACTTCACCACCCACCCACGCACACCCCCTCTCTGACTTCACCACCCACCCACGCACACCCCCTCGCTGACTTCACCACCCACCCACGCACCTCTCTAATGAGAGCAGAGCCCTCGCGAGTGATGAAGGCCATGTCAGCCGTGGGGTCCTTGAAACGCATCACCGACTCTGGATATGTGTGTGGTGTCTCTAGCAATAAATAACCAGCACACCACACCCCCCTGGTACCTGATCCTTACCACCCACACCCCCTCTCTGACTTCACCCCGCATACACCTCTCTAATGACAGCAGAGCCCTTGCAAGTGATGATGGCCATGTCAGCCGTGGGGTCCTTGAAAGGCATCACCGGCTCTGGATATGTGTGTGGTGTCTCTAGCAATAAATAACCAGCAGACCACACCCCCCTGGTACCTGATCCTTACCACCCACACCCCCTCTCTGACTTCACCCCGCATACACCTCTCTAATGACAGCAGAGCCCTTGCAAGTGATGATGGCCATGTCAGAGGTGGGAACCTTGAGTTGAGAGGCATCACCGGCTACTACTTACCTTCACCAGCCACCCGTGACTGTTCCCATCAGTACAGCATCACCCTGAACCCAACACCAACGTACCTCTCTGACAAGAGCAGAGCCCTAGCGGGCGATGATGGCCATGTCAGACGTGGGGTCCTTGAAAGGCATCACACCGGCTCCTCACCTTGACCAGCACAGCACACCACTGACTAACCGTTACTCTCACTGCTCATACCCACCTGTTACCACCCACACACACACCTCTCTGACTAGCGCTGAGCCCTTGCGGGCGATGATGGCCATGTCGGACGTGGGGTCCTTCAGCGGCATCACCGGCTCCTGCTGCTTCGTGAACACGATTCGCCCGTCCAGGAACGGTGGCTTCGTGTCTGCTCATGCACAGATGGGAAAGGGACGCGCAGCGGGTTGTACGGGAGTACTATTTTTGAGGTGCCTAGAGAATGGAGAGGCAGCGGGTTATAATACGCTGGGTGCCTCAAAAGTAGTACGTGCTTCGTGCTTTTTCCCATACGCAGGGCACATACGCTGCACAGCATGTCCAAGGGCACTCCACAACATGTGTGGTGAAGGCGGGAACAAATTTGGGCACACTCTCTTTTCCATGCTCCCAGCTCAGTCACACCAAGGAGGAGCGGGGACACCCGCCCACCATGCACAAGCAGCAGCAGCAGCAGCATGCGGTGTTCATCCTCGTCATCAATATCCATGTGGAGAGGACTTTTGAGGCGCCTCAGAAGTCTTTTTATTCGACTTTTGACTTTTAAGGCTCCTAAAAAGTCCTCAAAATTTTGGAGGCACATCAAAAGTGTTCATCCTCGTCATTAACATCCGTGTGGAGAGGAATTTTGAGGCGCCTCAAAAGTGTGGAGAGTTCTGAGGCATTGCGGCTTTAACGTTGAATCGACAGCCACCTTACTTGGACGACTCAAGAGGCTCACCGTGCACGAGCAGCAGCACGCGGTTCTCATCCTCGTCGTCAATGTCCGTGGAGAGCTCTGTAGCGTTGCGCACCACTCCCGACCGCATGAGCTGCCGGTCCTCCCACGACGCCTGGTCCGCCGACAGCTGGGTGAGGCGCTTGCTGGCCGCCAGAGACATGGCTGACCCGTCTGACCGCACCATGCGCTGCTGCCTCGCCGCTGCTTCCTTCTTGCGCTCCTCCTTCTTCTCAAACGCTTGCTCGTCGCCGAATCCCCCAAACGGGTTAGAGCCCTCGCCCGAGTCAAACACACTGCCCGCCTCCTCTGAGTCGTACCTGGGAGGGCAAGGGGGTGGGGAGGGCGGAAGGAATTAAGGGAGGGAGGGTGGAAGGAAAGGAGGGGGAAAGAGGATGAGACATGGCCGACCCGTCCCCCCGCACCATGCGCCACTGCTGCCTTGCCGCCGCTTCCTTCTTGCCTTCCTCCCCCTTCTCGAAGGCTTGCTCATCTCTGAACCCTCCGAACGAATTGGTGCCTGCCCTCGCCCAAATCAAACAAACACGCTGCCTGCTGTAAAAAGAGTGGTTTTGAGACGTCTCAAAACCTCTCTTTTTACACGTGGACCCTCCGAGCGACATCTCAAAACCTCTCTTTTTACACGTGGACCCTCCGAGCGGGTTGGTGCCTGCCCTCGCCCGAGTCAAACAAACACGCTGCCTGCCTGCTTCCTCTGAGTCGTACCTGCGAGGGCGGGCGGGTGAGAAAGCGTATGGGATTACAAGAGAGTGAGACACAGTTGACCTGTCACTGTCAGTCAGACTGCAGAACGCACCATGCATGCACCCCTCATCACGCACCTCGTCCTCCTACCGCCCCTCCCATGCACTCCTGTTTCGACCGTGCCAACTGTTTTCTTCTTTTCATACTCTCTCAACCCCAACCAAACCCAGAGACCAGACTCACCAGGAGCGGTCGGCCTGCCTCTCCGCCTCCTCCATCTCCCGGCGCAGGCCCTCATCCTCCTCCGCGCCTGCCCCCCCTCCCTCCCCCGCCTCCCTGTCAGCACGGTAATCCGTGTCCCACTCGCTCTCCTGCTGCGATGGCGCCTGGGGGCATGCAGGAGCGTGCAAGGGGAGAGGGGCAAAGGAAAGAGGGACAGGCGGTGTTTGAGACGTCTCAGATATCCTCTCCCGCTGCTGGGATGGCGCCTGGGAGCGTGCAAGGGGAGAGGGGCACAAGTGGAGTGGAACAGGACAAGGGCGGACTAATGTGCAGAAGAGGAGTGGGAGACACAAGGGAAACACTCCTCCCCACCTGGCCACTAACTAACGTGCCACCTGGCCACTAACGTGCCACCTGGCCACTAACGAGCCACCTGGCCAGAAGAGGAGCGGCTGATCAGCTCCGTGAACCTGAACCCCACCTGGCCTCCTCCCACAGTGCTTCTGTAACCCCTTCCAAACAGCACTCAATATAGCATAACAATCCCTTCCAAACAGCACTCAATATAGCATAACAACCCCTTCCAAACAGCACTCAATATAGCATAACAACCCCTTCCAAACAGCACTCAATATAGCATAACAACCCCTTCCAAACAGCACTCAATATAGCATAACAACCCCTTCCAAACAGCACTCAATATAGCATAACAACCCCTTCCAAACAGCACTCAATATAGCATAACAAGTTAACAACCCCTTCCAAAGAGCACTCAATATAGCATAACAACCCCTTCCAAACAGCACTCAATATAGCATAACAACCCCTTCCAAACAGCACTCAATATAGCATAACAACCCCTTCCAAACAGCACTCAATATAGCATAACAAGTTAACAACCCCTTCCAAAGAGCACTCAATATAGCATAACAACCCCTTCCAAAGAGCACTCAATATAGCATAACAACCCCTTCCAAACACCCACTCTAATACTCTTTGACCCACCTGGCCTCCTGCTGTGCTTCGGCGTGTGCTCGCACCGCCCTCCGAAGCTGACGAGTCCGCTCGGAACCGAAGCTTGTGCGACCGCCGAGCCCTTCCCCCCTCTGCTTGCACGCTTCCCTCCCTCTCCTCCCCGTCCCGACCCTGCGAGACAGGCGTGGCCGAGCCTGCCCTCACAGGTACGGGAGAGGGGGACGGGAGATCCCACACTGAACCTGGAGGAAAGGGAAATAGGAAAAATCAGTAGTAAAGAATCAGGTCAGGAATCCAGGATGAAAAATCCAGGTTGATAAATATTGGTTGGGGATGTAAATGGAAGAAGGGACAAAGGGGTTGTATGGGTGAGGAAGGAGAAGGGTTGGCTGAGAACAGAACACTCACCACCAACAGAAGGTGTGCTGCCTCCTCCGCCATCCCACGGCGACAGCAGGCGCGAGTCAGACGGCGAGGGCGGCACAAAGGACGGCTCGCGGCGGTACGGCGCAGGAGAGGGGGCGGGGGAAGGGGTCCAGCGGGGGGAGGGCGACGGCGAGGGCATGTCCCACTTGGACCCCCTGTTGCGGGGCGTGCTGCCTCTGTCTCCGTCCCTTTCTCTGTCCCTCTCCTTGTCTCTGTCTCTCTCCCTGCCCTCCCTGGAAGGGGTGCTGTCAGTGTCTCTGCGCGGGGTGCTGTCATCCCAGCGTGATCTGGAGGAGCCTGATGGCACGAGAGGGAAGAACGCAGAAAGAGTTCTCCAAGCAACGGAGGAAGGAGGGGAGGGGGGCGAGGGGGGGGGGGGGTGGGGGGTCGGATTTGTTCAATTAGGAGGTTTTGGCTGTAGTTGACAAAGCAGCATGTGACGATCTATCAGTTCGAGACAGTATTGGGAACCCTTAACGCATGTACAAAGGTTAGGTCCAACACCGCTGTCCAATATAGAAAGTTGTTTCCTTTTCCCCTTCTCACACACACAAGCCCCGCGCACTCACCGTGGCCATATGAGCCCCTGTCGTAGTCCCTGTCCCGGCCTCGATCGTTGCCCCGCTCCCCTCCCCTTCTCTCCCTGTCTCTCTCACTCTCCCTCTCCCTATCCCCCTCCCTGCCCCTCTCTCTCCTGTTGCTGTCTCTTGAGTCCCAACGGCCCCCCCTTCTCCCTTCCCCTCTCTCCCCATCCCCTCTCCTCCCATCCGCGTCTCCCCTGCTCCCCACATCTGTCGCTTGGAATCAACAAGGCGTAAGCAAGCACAGAGAGCAGCAGAGGGGTGAAGAGAACGGAACACGGTGAGGGGGCGAAACGAAGCAGGACCGGAAGGGAACACGAAACCCTCAAGACGGAACTCATTTGAGGTGGCTGGACAACAAACAAGCACTGATGCTGTTATCGGATAACATTATTGTCTGTTGATTTTTTAGGCGCCTCAAAAATCAACTCACTGATGCACAGGGAGGAGGACAAAGAGAGTCGGACCACCAGACTTGAGCAGTATAAATGCTTTTCATGTGCAACCACGTTTCAAGCACTTGACAAGTCAGTAAGGCTCATCAACATTCTGGACTAGACAACCTCCTGCTCTGACTGACTGACTGACGCCCCTCACCTCCTCCATTAGTCACCAAACTAGCGGAGCCTGCCCTGTCAGCAGCACCATTTGCCACGTCAGCAGGCTCCACTCGGGTTCTTTTGGCGCCTCGGCTTGCCTCGTCTCCCTGCATCAAGAAAACGATGTGGTGGGTGGGGGGGGAAGGCGGGGGGAGGAGGGGGGAGGAGGGGGAAGGGAAGAAGGGAAAGAGGGAAGGAAGGAGGGAGGGAGAGAGGGAGTGGGAGAGGGGCGCTGGTTGAAATCATATTCCTCTCACATACACACGCAGCCAAAATTCTGATCCATGTACGTGTGTGAGTGTGAGTCCTTTTGAACTTGAGAATGCACTCGGCCAAAATGATTCACCCACACACACACATGAATCGTCGTGCGCAGAGCAGGCAACCGTCCCTCAACCAGGCTGTGTGTGAATGAACCTACCTCGGATGTCCCAGCACCTGTGTCCCCTCGCGTGTCTTTGTCCGCATGTGAGGAGGCCCGACGAGGTGACTCCTGCACCCGGGGCGACGCGCCTGATAGTTCTGGCAAGGGGAAGGACACGTGGTTGGGTTGGGTGGGCGAAAGGCATGGGTGTTAACGAAGAACTGGTCAGATGCCATGAGGATGGGTTGGATGGTGAATACTTAGTTGGAATATGAGAATCGGCCACGTGGGATGAGGATCTGCCAGGTGGCATGAGGATCAGTGAGGTGGCATGGATCGTCTAGGTGGCAGGTCGTATGACACTGTGACTCACCTGTAATCGTTGACACGTGTGTGGGCGTATCATCACTCCGCGCAGAACGATACCGCCGCCTCTCCTTGCTCCCTCCTCCACCGCTCTTCTCCCCCACACTCCCTCCTCCCACTCCCTCTCCATCCCCTCTCCCCCCTCCCCCATCGTCTACGTCCGCTACCCACTTCCCGCCTCCCCCTTCCTTCCCCTCAACCGTCAACTTTTCCCCTTCATCTTCCCCCTCTTCCGCGAATCTGGCCGCTGCTACAGTAACCGGCGGCTTCTCAGGGATTCCCGCGGCTGCTCGCTTGGCTCGGGCGAGCGCGTCCAGACCTGGGGATTGCCGACGAAGGTGGGGGCAGTGGGGTGGGTGTGGTGAGAGGGAGGAGGAGGGGGGGAGGCGAATTACCTTAGAAAAATACGGGACCTACATCGCGCTTTACAAGTACATATCACGCAACTCAACCCCCGACCCATCGCATCCCATCTCAGACCTAGAAACCGCTACACAGCTTAGACAACGAACGACGCGCCCCTCACCCAAAACAGATTTTCGCTCGGCCGGGGCTTTAAAGAGTAATCGCTCTCCTCCCAGCCCGCCAGCCGGCTGCAACCCTCCTCTCTGCAACCCGCCTTTCTGTAGGCCCCCTCCCCCACCGTCATCTCCTTCACCAGGATTTGATCCTTTGAGCGAATCTTCTGACCCTTCCAGTCGAGAAACCTGCCCCGAAAACCCGGAGAGCATGGTGGAATCCGCAGGATTGTAACAAGCTTTCGGTTTGGCTAATTTGATCGCGATGTCAGACAAAACGATTCGCGTCCAGTTAGGTGTCAAGAAAGCGTCTGCATGGTGTTAAAACTGAAGGGATTAAACTCGTCAAGGCAAGAAAGCTGGTAAGGAGACTGAAAGAGAATACCGAGAGAACCTAGAGACAGTCGGGACGAGACGAACTATAGCTAGGTTGTGCAGGCAGACATCCCAAAGCACGGGCACAGTCCAGGAGTCGGACTGATACATTTTGTAGCAAGTTCTCAAACTTTACAAGTTACCGGTAGTACACCTCAAGTGACCACAAAAGTGCTGGTAAATATAGCTCATAATTCAGGAATGCTCCGTTTCGTAGCACTATCTTTTCAGGCGATCTCCTATCAGATATGTTATTATATTTCAGATTGTACATCTATAGGTTCAGTAAGAACTCTCATTCGTATAAAAACACTTATTTTTATTAAGATCGTTGTGTATGAGAAATTGGTGTCGCTTCCCATGTATGGGCCAACCCTCCCTGGATTCCTTCCTATTCATTCTAGCGAATTCACTGACTGACGAGTCTTTGCTGTAAGGGAGGAGATTAGTCCTGTCACGCTGCGCTTCGTCAGAACCCTTCGCAAGGTATTTGAGTGGAATTTTCCCTGTGGCACGGCATTGCATCTTCAATCTCGCCTCGTGCAGCCCTTCCCCATGGAAGACGATGGATTGCATCACGAATGCTCACCCCTCATCCGCTCTCCGGTATCCTCTCGGCAATCCCCAGACCATGTCCGTCGCTCTTCGCGAGATTGTTGCGACCTTGCACGTACCCCGATCGTCGAAGCGTTACTCGAACCTTGGGATCGACGATCAGAAACCACCGCCACCGTCAGCGACGACTGTACCACGGGATCGACGATTGCCTGCCACGTGGCACAGCCGTCCAGAGAACGCAGCGCATGTCCTGGTCACGGAACGGTCGTTGTTCTCGATGACGTGGACTCTCAGGAAGCTTTCACGAAGGGGGAGCAGCCAGGGCGATGGTCATGTTCATGGTTACCAGTGTGGATAGGTCGGGATTCCGTCACAGCCATAGGACAGACTACTGGATCCCTTACAGGGAGTACTACAGGGACTGATACAGGGACTAGTATAGGGACCACTACTACCGAGTACGCTACAGGGTCCACAACAGGGATCGTTGCAGGGTCTGGAGGGCTGTGCGCGTGGGACGAGTGGCGGTGGGTGTACTCGCGGGACGGCCTTAAAGCCCTGGCTCTCGGGCAGCTCATGTCACTTCTGCTCACCGTCACCGCCACGTGTTCCGCGCTGCTGGCCGCCAGAGGTGCAAAACGATGCCACGTGGAGGTGTGCGATTCGCGGAGATGTATGATTCTTCAGCTTGTGCCGGCTCATCACACTTGTGAAACGTGTTATTGGTAGCACCCTGATTGTCTCTGATTGGTGGTTCGGATGGTTGCCACGTGGCAGGAGTGAGCATCCCCACGACCCAATCGCTGCTCAACTACGTGCTGCTTGCTGCTGTGTATGGCGCCGTGCTGCTACACCGCAAGACACCCCTCACTGTAAGGCCTTTTTGTTTACTCAAAGCACAACTCTAGCTGTTACCACGCCTCCCTACCTATACGTACGGTACAGCTCATTATGGCGCCTTGCGCACGGCACTTCTATCACCACACTTCTATCACCACGCTTCTTTTCACTTGTCCTCATTATTGGCTCCATCTGCTTCCAGCGCTCCTGACGAGCCTTTTGCCAATTATTGATCCTGGGTTATCTTTGTGATTGATTTCTAAGGCGCATGAGAAATCTCTTGAGCCATGTCTCTGGACGAGATGGCTTTTGAGTCGACTCAAAAGGCGCATCAGAAATCTCTTGAGCCATGCCTCTGGATGAGATTCTTGGGCGACAATCATTTCAAGGCTTGCTCCGGATTGCCGTCGTAACTGTTCACGCAAACTATCTTCTGATTGTTTGACTAAAGTTACAAGTCAACGGCTCCCTCAAATCGCCTTTCCATCTGCCTTGAATCTGTGCCCTCCTTCCCGCCACACGCCATTTCAGGTGCCGTGGCGTGTGCTCCTGCTCGCGTCTTTCCTCGACGTCGAAGGGAATTACTTTGGTGAGTGCGTGTCTTGTACTCTTATCGTGCCTGCCGTGTGCCCGCGTTGTGCCCGCCGTGTGCTCATCTAATTGGTCGTTGATCCCTCTCATCTCCCTCTCATCTCCCTCTCATCTCCCTCTCATCTCCCTCTCATCTCCCTTTCATCTCCCTCTCATCGCTCTCTCATCTCCCTCTCATCTCCCTTTCATCTCCCTCTCATCGCTCTCTCATCTCCCTCTCATCTCCCTTTCATCTCCCTCTCATCGCTCTCTCATCTCCCTCTCATCATCTCATTCGTCTCATTTTACTTGCATCGTCTCATCTTACCCTTTCCTTTCGCTTCAGTTGTCCTTCAGTGTCCACCCATTCCCCTTCACCTCCTTCACTCGAGTTGCTCTCCTTCACTGCTTTCTGGGGTGCCCACCTGATTCACCCTTGCTGCCTCTCGTCTCTTTCCTTCCATCCCGATGCTGTCTCTCATTCCTCTCCCTCTTTCCACTTTGTCCCAGTCAGTATTGCTCGCCTTCCGTTTCACCTCCTTGAAAGTATGTCTCCCTGCTGGACTGCTGGGCCATCCTTCTCTCATTGCCCCTTGCTGCCTCTCATCTCATTCCTTCCCTCCCCACGCTGCCCCTCACCCCACCACTCTCCACCCCTCCCTATCCAGTTGTCCTCGCCTTCCGTTTCACCTCATTGACGCGAGTCACTCTCCTGGACTGCTGGGCCATCCCAGCCGCTATGCTGCTAGCAGCGCTCTGCCTCTCCACGCGCTACCACGCCTCCCATGTTATCGGCGCGCTGCTCTGCACGGCGGGCCTCGCCATGCTGCTGCTGTCTGACGCCGGTGAGAGCTCATAGACTTTTCCTTCTTATCCTAGACCCCTTCTGCCTCTCCACACGCTACCATGCCATCGGCGCGCTGTTCTGCACTACCGGCCTCGCCATGCTCTTGCTCTTGGATGCAGGTGAGAACCAAGGAGACCGTCCTTTCTATTGTAGCACCCATTCTGTCCCTTCCTTTATGCCCTACCACGCCTCCCACGCCATCGGCGCGCTGCTCTGCACTGCTGGCCTTGCCATGCTGCTGCTCTCTGCACTGCCAACGCAGGTGAGAGCTAAAGGGATCCGTGCTTCTCCTTGCACCTCCTTTGCCCCTCCCTTCCCGAGCTACTATGCCTCCCACGCCATCGGCTCCCTGCTTTGCTCTGCTGGTCTTGCCATGCTGCTGCTGCTCTGCACTGCCAACGCAGGTGAGAGCTGAGAGGTTGTGCTGGTAGTGGGAGGAGCTGAAAGGTTGTGTTGGTAGCGAGAGCTAAGAAGGTGTATTTCAGAGATCTGGGAACAGCATTTGAGGCAAGTCAGGGTCGCACTGGCAGCAGACGTGGGAGGGTGTGCGTATATCCCTGCAGCCCATGTGTCCCTCTCCTCTTTTCACGCACTGCCATGTCTGTTATACCTTAGGTGAGCTGCTCTGCGCTTCCGCCCTTGAAGTGCTGATCCTCTTTCGACCGATGCAGTTGGGAAGTGAGAGGCTGTGTTGGTAGCTGCAGGGTTCAGATTGCGTTTTTGAGAATTCAGATGGCTGGCTGGGAGTAAAGAGAGGGGGGGGAGAAGGGGGAGAGGGGGAGAGAGAATAGCAGCAACTGAGAGGGCGTGCGTGGTCTTAGCATCCTTTCTCCCAGCACTCATCCTCTGTGTAGCAACGCACTCATCCTCTGTGTAGCAACGCACTCATCCTCTGTGTAGCAACGCACTCATCCTCTGTGTAGCAACGCACTCATCCTCTGTGTAGCAACGCACTCATCCTCTGTGTAGCAACGCACTCATCCTCTGTGTAGCAACGCACTCATCCTCTGTGTAGCAACGCACTCATCCTCTGTGTAGCAACGCACTCATCCTCTGTGTAGCAACGCACTCATCCTCTGTGTAGCAACGCACTCATCCTCTGTGTAGCAACGCACTCATCCTCTGTGTAGCAACGCACTCATCCTCTGTGTAGCAACGCACTCATCCTCTGTGTAGCAACGCACTCATCCTCTGTGTAGCAACGCACTCATCCTCTGTGTAGCAACGCACTCATCCTCTGTGTAGCAACGCACTCATCCTCTGTGTAGCAACGCTTCAAGCAGCGACGCTCCCAGGCACCTCGCATCTTGCAGCTGTCCTCCCTTCTCTCCTTACCGCCCCTCCCTCATCCCCAGGCCCATCCAAACACACAGACGGCACTGCCACTGGCAGCGGCAGCAACGCAACTGAAGAATGTGCTTGCTTTGAGGCTGCCCAACGAAATATTCCTTCATTTTTTTCCCACGTTTGTCTCCCCTTCTTGCCCTACCTGCTGGCTGCTGCCACTCCATCATCCCCACGCCCGTCGAACACACAGACGGCACTGCCAGTGGCAGCAGCAAGCAACGCTCCATGGAAATCATTCTTTAGAATTCTCAAAAGTGATTTTTACTGCCAGTGGCAGCAGCAGCAACGCTCCCAGCCGTCACGCACCTTGCAGCTCTGCTCCCACCTCTCAGACCTCCCTTGATTCTCGCCCCCGCCCTCCTCCCCTCCTCTACCCACCGCCCTCCCTCACTCACTCACAGGCCCATCCAAGCACGGAGGCAGCAGCACTGCCATTGGCAGCAGCAGCAGCAACGCGACTTTGGGGAATGTGCTTGTGCTTCTCGGTGCCACTCTGTATGCTGCTTCCAATGTGACTGTGGTGAGCGCTGCGGCAATTCCACTCTATGTCCGCTGTCAGAATGTGTCGGTGGTGTGAGTGTGTGCTGAGTGCGTGGTGAGTGCGTGGTGAGTGCGTGGTGAGTGCGTGGTGAGTGCGTGGTGAGTGCGTGGTGAGTGCGTGGTGAGTGCGTGGTGAGTGTGTGGTGAGTGCGTGGTGAGTGCGTGGTGAGTGCGTGGTGAGTGCGTGGTGAGTGCGTGGTGAGTGCGTGGTGAGAGCGTGGTGAGTGTGTGGTGAGTGCGTGGTGAGTGCGTGGTGAGTGTGTTGTGAGCATCCCACCGTGCACCTTTTCTTGGATGGCCACACATATGCATTTTCTGCATGGATGAATCCCTACCCCCACACTCTTTCTCTTTCTCTTGTCTCCAGTGCCCCGCCTCTCACAGGAGTACCTTGCGCATCGAGTGGAGACAACAGAGCTGCTGGCCTTCTTAAAGTGCACGAGATGGCTTTTGAAAACCCGAAACCCTGCCACACTTTCTTTCCCCAAATGCCCCTCCTCTCTCCCACAGGAGTATCTTGCGCATCGAGTCGAGACAACAGAGCTGCTGGCGTTCATTGGTTGCGCGGGATCCCTCATTAGCTTCACACAGCTGTAAGCGCACTATCTCAGTACCTCATTAGTAGAACATGTGTGTGAGAGCACTGTCGCCATCCAACCCTTGTATCGCACTTGGATACCTCCATTGCGCCGACTCATAATTCGATTAAGTACCTCGATAGTATCACACGGCGGTCATTGGCATTCAACCTTTGTACAGCACGTGGATACGCCAGTCAATGTGTGCAGTGCAGTGTGTGCACAGCACAGCACACATGTGTTCTAGTCGACTCATAACTCATCATTGCCATCCATCCTTTGTAGCACGTGGGTACGTCACTCCATGTATGCATTGTTTGCTAACATGTATGGCTGGTGTTTCGTAACTCGTCTATCCTCGCGCACTCTTATTTCTCCCCATTGCATCCGCCTATCTCCCCCCCACACCCATCTGCCCGATCCAGACTTCTCCTGGAGGGAGCAGACCTGCACTCCCTGCACTTTGATGCCCACACTGTATGCTCAATGCACTCACATAGTTGGATGCCACAATATCTCACCATTTACTTTCTCTCACTATTTAGTTTCCCTCATTACCTACCCTCTGTGACTACATGTTCTAGAACTGCTTACTTTTTATGACTCTCTACCCATCTGATATCAAGGCTACCCTATTTCCTAGCTCCCCAGCCTGCTGCTAGTGTCCCACATGCTTGGCTGGGGGAAGTTCTGCTTGGCTGTTATGTATAGCTTCTGGTTGTTCTACATCCACATGTGCGCATTGATTTTCTGTGTACAGATGTCGCACATCTATGTTTCCTCCTAAGCCACCCTTCCCTTTCTCCTCGGTACATCCCTCCGCCCCTCACTCAAACCACAGGTCCTCCCCATGGTGCTCTTCTCGATCGCCCTCTTCGCCTTCTACTCCCTCACTCCCCTCATGCTCCGTGTAAGCTCCCCAAACACAACTGCTCTATGTGCACTTGAATGTGTGTGTGTGTGTGTGTGTGTGTGTTGTGTGTGTGTGTGTGTGTGTGTGTGTGTGTGTGTGTGTGTGTGTGTGTGTGTGTGTGTGTGTGTGTGTGTGTGTGTTGTGTGTGTGTGTGTGTGTGTGTGTGTGTGTGTGTGTGTGTGTGTGTGTGTGTGTGTGTGTGTGTGTGTGTGTGTGTGTGTGTGTGTGTGTGTGTGTGTGTGTGTGTGTGTGTGTGTGTGTGTGTGTGTGTGTGTGTGTGTGTGTGTGTGTGTGTGTGTGTGTGTGTGTGTGTGTGTGTGTGTGTGTGTGTGTGTGGTGTGTGTGTGTGTGTGTGTGTGTGTGTGTGTGTGTGTGTGTGTGTGTGTGTGTGTGTGTGTGTGTGTGTGTGTGTGTGTGTGTGTGTGTGTGTGTGTGTGTGTGTGTGTGTGTGTGTGTGTGTGTGTGTGTGTGTGTGTGTGTGTGTGTGTGTGTGTGTGTGTGTGTGTGTGTGTGTGTGTGTGTGTGTGTGTGTGTGTGTGTGTGTGTGTGTGTGTGTGTGTGTGTGTGTGTGTGTGTGTGTGTGTGTGTGTGTGTGTGTGTGTGTGTGTGTGTGTGTGTGTGTGTGTGTGTGTGTGTGTGTGTGTGTGTGTGTGTGTGTGTGTGTGTGTGTGTGTGTGTGTGTGTGTGTGTGTGTGTGTGTGTGTGTGTGTGTGTGTGTGTGTGTGTGTGTGTGTGTGTGTGTGTGTGTGTGTGTGTGTGTGTGTGCGCGTGCCTGCCTGCCTGCCTGCCTGCCTGCCTGCCTGCCTGCCTGCCTGCCTGCCTGCCTGCCTGCCTGCCTGCCTGCCTGCCTGCCTGCCTGCCTGCTGCCTGCCTGCGTGCCTGCGTGCGTGCGTGCGTGCGTGCGTGCGTGCGTGCGTGCGTGCGTGCGTGCGTGCGTGCGTGCGTGCGTGCGTGCGTGCGTGCGTGCGTGCGTGCGTGCGTGCGTGCGTGCGTGCGTGCGTGCGTGCGTGCGTGCGTGCGTGTGTGTGTGTTTACAGATATTCAATTGTCCACCACCTAGCTTATCATGTGTGCGCTTAAGCTGAATACCACTTCACATTACTGTGCACTATCTTCTCATGCTTGACTCATTCCCTGCTTTCACTGACCCCTCGTCCTGCCCCTTGCCGATCCCCCTTCCCCATCTAACCAGCTGGGCGGCGCCGCTCTCTTCAACCTCTCCCTCCTCACATCAGACCTCTGGGCGGCGGGAGTGGCGGCTCTTGTCTTTAACCAGCCTGTGAGTCGGCGCTTTCGAGTCTTAAAGACTTGAGCTCTCAGTTTTTCTGTGAAGGCTTTTGAGTAATATGTCATTTGAGGCTTTTGTCTACAAGCAAGTTATTTGTGTTGCCAAGCGGGAATTGGATGCTGTGCATGCTCACTGACCATGCAAAAAAATTCTGCTGTTTTGCAGGTTGAGAGCATTTATTTCTCTTCTCTTGCGGTGGTTTCTGTGGGCCTAGTAATTTTCAGCTTGAGATGATGTACACAAAACAAAAAAACTGTATGTTTCTAGTACACTCATTGAAGTTGGAGTTATATTTTCCTTGTTCCTTATCCGCATGGGTCCCTGGTACTATCGCGATTGGCGCGAAACGCTTACTGTGTTGGTTGGCCGGGTATTCCGAGTTGACAGTAACCTACGATTATGTTTTGAGGCAGCTTGGAAGCTTCGGTCCCCTTTGAAAAATGCTCCAGGGACTGAGGGGTACTTGTGGATTGTAACCTGTCTGTTTCGCCGATAAGCTGTTCTTAGTGTTGGTGACAACTCACAGCTAGATCTTTCGAAAAGTGCACGGGAATTATAACGAGTGGCGGAGAGCTGAGGACGGGTGGCGTAGGGTGACGTGGTTATGCAACCTTCACAATCCGTGCTTATGGATCAGATTCCCTTTTTTGTTCAGCCCGATTCAGGGCATATGCCCAGAACAAACATATTTCAGTATCCTGTCTCAATGGCTGACAGGCGGCTCCAGACACCACCCCTGCGCTTCGATGTCAGCGAGGCAATTTCGTGATTTAGTTTCGTTTTGGCGCTCTGACGACAGTGATGCTTTACAGTACCACCCTTGCCTCGTTCTTTCCGTGCCACTCCTCTGTGAGGAAGTCGACATCAAAACTGGACCTACGGTGCTAGACACACTGTACATTCCACACCACACCAGCACACGCTTACCGAGACTGCTGCGGCGTTCTCGAGGCTGCGCGGGTTGGAGTCATCGATCCAACCATTAGGTCTATTTCGGAGCGTCGAATGAGCAGGCTTCTTATCCCGCAGCCGCCTTCTCGGCTCGAAGACGCAGAAACGCCGAGTGTACATAGCTTGTGAAGCGTACTTCGCAGTTTCACACTTAACGTCTTGGGAACAGTTCTGTTAAGTCGTAAAAACGATTCGCAAGAAGCAGTCTAAACAAAGCCCTGCCTCCCATCGTCAGCAACTGCATACGAGTGAATAGTTGCGTTCGATCTCAAAGCGGGAGCACTGTGGGAGTCACTTCTAAGAACTCTCAAATCGAGAACACTGTGTCGGCCGGTCAGAAGATCCATGGCGAGCAATACGGGTCTGAATGTTCGCGCCCACGCCCTTGGCATTCTCCTCGCATGCATCGCCCTCTCAGGTGTGGTCCCCACAAGTGACTCCAGGTGACCCCAGAGGCTACCCAGGGGTAACCACTTGTTGCATGGGTATTTACCCTACAGAATGAGTTTAGGACCTCGGAAGTGGTGCAAGAGTCATCGAACTGCCCTCCTTTCCCCCATTCGGCCCTGGGGTGCGTTAGAAAGTACAATCGGCGCGCAGCAGTGCTCAGTGCCTCATATCTCCGTTACAATCGGCGCGCAGCAGTGCTCAGTGCCTCATATCTCCGTTACAATCGGCGCGCAGCAGGGCTTTATGTGTGGACTCAGAAGAGAGCGTTCAACTGTCTCGGTTCCTTCTTCCATCGTGCAAGCACCCCGAGAGTGGCCGCATGGGCCACTTTCAATCGGCGCGCAGTGTTCCACGCCCTCATCTCCTCGTTCCATCTGTCCGCAGGCACCCTGGGAGTGACGGCGCAGCCCTCGCTCCGGTGGCGCAAGGCGCTCAACGTGTCGACCGTGTTTAACGCCGCCAAGTTCGGAGCGGGCACGCAGAGCACTCGCAGCGGCTTCATCGGCCTGCCTTACAGTATGCTCCGCACCCCTCCCGCCCCTCTCGCCCCTTTCGCCCCTGCCACCCCTCCCGCCCCTCTCACCCCTGTCGCCCCTGCCACCCCTGTCGCCCCTGCCACCCCTGCCGACCTTGTCGCTCCCGTCGTCGCTATCGCATGCTTGGTAGCAGGCATGGCCGTGTTGCATGTGTTAGCTTCCATTCTCTCACGCCCCCCACCGCCACTTTATCCCGCCACCCCAATCCGTGTATATCCAGCGACGTTTATTCCGTCACCTACTATCCTCCCCCAGTTGAGTGGAAGGCGGGCTGAGCGGAAGGCAGGTATTCTTGACTTCCTTTTCTCTATCTCCACCTTTTCTTCCTGGCAGGGGAGGTGTACGCGAAGCTCACAGGCAAGGCCGTTCCGGGCTCTAAGGGGGACAAGGGAGCACATGGATGGCTCGATATCAACATCTACAAGTGAGTGCGCTTCTACAGGGTACATACGAGCTGTATGTTCAAGCTGGGCAGCGGTTGCCCTTCATTGTGCATGCATCCTTGGACCTTCCTAGGTTCTCATACAATCCATAGCAGCTCGGGTTTTCCCTTACCCCTCTTTCCATCCGTCACCCCTCCCGCCATTCCCTCTCCATCCTATCCTTGGTCTAGCCTTTTCATGGCTGATTGATATACCCTTTGCGTGCTCTTTTGTACTCTATCCCATCTGCTTACTTTTTCACTTCCTTTCTGCTCTCACGACATCCCCAAACAGATGGAACAGTGAATACAACATTCGCTTCTTCACTTCCACCTTGGGACTGTCGCGCAACGAGGTGCCCCTATCAGTCAGCATCCACCGCGGAAACCCTAAACGCGACGGCACGGGCGACACCAACGTCGTTCTCTCCTTCGACTCGCTACAAGCAGCCTCGGGTGCAAATACAGGTTACACCTCTGCAGGTTCGTCGACCCTTTCATTTCCGTGGTTGGCTGTTGACCCAACGCCCATGCAGCGGTTACGCGGTTACAAGGGGTACGGGTTTATGCAAGAGGGTACAGTGCGGAAGGCGCGGGGTGTACAAGTAGACTCTACGGGCAAGTCGTTGCGCAAGTTACTGGATGAGCTTATAAAGAGGCCGGGAAAGTTCTATGTGGTGGTGAAAACGCCCTCGTTTCCCAATGGGGCTGTGCTCGGACGCATGCAAGGCTCGCTGGTTACAAAGTTACTACACTGAGTATCCGGGGGTGACTGACTGGTTATAAAGTTACTACACTGAGTGTCCGGGGGTAACTGATTGGTTAGAAAGTTACTACACTCAGGGGTTACAAAGTTACTACACTGAGTTTGGTGACTGACGTGTTACAATAGAGATAGTTGCTTGCATTGCATCACACTGAGTGTAAGGGGCTCGTTGGTTGGAGGGTCGTGGCGCTGGATTTGCTTTGCCCCTGTTGTCAGCTGTTTGGATTGCATGATGCAGCTTTTCTGCATGATGCAGCAGCAAGGCTCTGCAGGTTGTCAACACAACAGCTTTTGTATGACAGTCAGAACGGTATCCTGGTGCACATTTTGGTGGGCAGTTTATGTGTTGCCGAGTTACCATCATGCTAGGTTGCATTGCATCTCCCAACACACCAGACATGAACATGGTACTGCTAAATGCCAAGTGTTTTTCTGGATGTAACCTTATAGTTAACACACTGCCACAAAGCACAGCACTTACCGTACAAGGTAGAATCAGCAATAGCAAGCATCAAACAGTACACTAACCCTTCTAGTGTTCATCATCATCAGAGGCATTCTCCAGCAAGTATTCAACCACCTCGGTATCTGAACTGAACTGCACAACAAATTACCGTAGGTATCATAGGAAAAAGCACTCGACTCAAACAGTTCTCACGAGTGGCATTTCTGATGTGGGTGGCCATTCAACTCGTGTAGTTCGATCATGGTGTTCATGGGGCCGCCTCAAATGCTCATGCGCGGTGGTTGTGGCACAGGAAGCACAGTGCAGCAAAGGCGGTGACGCGGCAGAAGATGCAGAAGCAGAGGAGGAAGAGCCAGTCCCAGTGCACAGCACTGCGTGCCGACTTGGTGGCGAGGGGACCAGGAAGTTCCATTCCATAGATACTCGGGGCCTCTGATGGGGTTGAGACAAATCTACGGCTTAAATATGGTAGTTGTGGGTGTTGAGGCAAGTCAGCTCAGCACGCCTTTAAGTCTCATGCCCGGTGGTTATGGCGCAGGAAGCGCAGCGCAGCAAAGGCAGTGACGCGGCAGAAGACGCAGAAGCAGAGGAGGAAGAGCCAGTCCCAGTGCACGGCACTGCGTGCCGACTTGGTGGCGACGAGGAAGTTCCACAGATACTCAGGGCCGCTGATGGGGTTGAGGTACCACTTGCAGGGACAGCTGTCGCAGGCTGAACTGGTGCCGGGGCAGCCCGGAATGGTGCACTCCGGTGCAGAGGTGTTGCAGTAGTAGGCTGTTGCTGTGAGGCCGTTCAGGGCGTACTGCGTGGGGGAACGGGGATAGGGGCAGAGGGGGAGAGGGATGGGGAGAGAGGGGAGAGAGGGATGAGGACAGAGGGGAGGAGAGGGATGAAGACAGAGGGAAGGAGAGGGATGAAGACAGAGGGAAGGAGAGGGATGAAGACAGAGGGAAGGAGAGGGATGAAGACAGAGGGAAGGAGAGGGATGAAGACAGAGGGAAGGAGAGGGATGAAGACAGAGGGAAGGAGAGGGAGGGATGAAGACAGAGGGAAGGAGAGGGATGAAGACAGAGGGAAGGAGAGGGATGAAGACAGAGGGAAGGAGAGGGATGAAGACAGAGGGAAGGAGAGGGATGAAGACAGAGGGAAGGAGAGGGATGAAGACAGAGGGAAGGAGAGGGATGAAGACAGAGGGAAGGAGAGGGATGAAGACAGAGGGAAGGAGAGGGATGAGGACAGAGGGAAGGAGAGGGATGAAGACAGAGGGAAGGAGAGGGATGAAGACAGAGGGAAGGAGAGGGATGAAGACAGAGGGAAGGAGAGGGATGAGGACAGAGGGAAGGTGAGGGATGAGGACAGAGGGAAGGAGAGGGATGAGGACAGAGGGAAGGAGAGGGATGAGGACAGAGGGAAGGAGAGGGATGAGGACAGAGGGAAAGAGAGGGATGGGGGTAGAGAGGAGAGAGGGGAGATTGGTGCAGAGGCGATGCCACAGGAGTTGAGAGAATCCTGACAAGTGACTACACTGTGCCTGGACAACAGTAGGTCTGTAGGCCAGGAAATGGTTGCAGGGAGAAAGATTGAGGAGGGAAGACAGGCCTGGTATGGGAAGGATGGGTGATGGGAGGAGTGCAGCGAAGAAGAAGAGAGAAAGGGGCGGTGATTGGTAAAGCTGGAAGCTCAGGGGACTACCGGATGTGCAGTTTCATCCCGCATCAACAACACCATGACAGAAGAGCCGGAATCGGCGTTCCCAGCCAGACAATTCACCTCTGAGTCACATTGAAAGAGAAATGCTGCTGTGAATTGGGTCGGCATGGCTAGTAGATGGCAGCTGACTGGAACTGGTTCAGTAGCGGTGACAATACTGGACCAACCTCATTCAATAGAAGTACGACCCGGTCAGTAAATGATGAGTCTGTGAACCAATAAGTAGTGCAACAAACCTGAATGGGGTTGGTCCAGTAGACAGCGAGAACGAAGTATTGTTGAGAGGTCTCAAAAGTGGTCTACTTACTCACGGAATTCATGTTAATAAGTAGAGCAACGAACCTGGATGGGGTTGGTCCAATAGACGGCGAGGAAGAAGTTTTTGGTGAAGGCGTAGGGCAGGAAGAAGCCACACGTCGCCACCCACGCCGTGATGAAGAAGGAAATCACCACTGCCCCGTACTGTGGTCAGGGGCGTGGGGAGGGACAGGGAGGGCGGGGGGTGGCGATGGGGATGAGGGGTGTATGGCGTGTGACGAGTAGGAGACCAACGCTGTGGCGTACTGTAAGTGCGGGGAGTGGGAGGGGAAGGGAAGGGAGGGGGGAATGGGCGGGATGAGGGTTCTGTGGCTTGGGAATGAACAGGGCAGAAAGAAACGGCACTATGCCAGACAACCCATGCCGTGATGAGGAAGGAATGCACCACTGCTGCGTACTGTGGGAGTGGGGTGGGGAAGAACATGGGGGCAAGGGCAGGGGAGAAGGAGGAAGGGTAAACGTGTGCCCTTGTGGTTACCCGCCATCCATCATCCATCATCCATCATCCAATATTCATGCTGTGATGACCAATGTCATGGCACCACCACACTTATGCCAGCAACTGTGAGTGTAGGACTCGAAAATCTGGCGAGATGTTGTGAGATGACCTTTGAGTCAGCTTAGAAGGAACAAAACAGACATTGTAGGGGCAGGAAGGCTTTTGAGTCGACTCAGAACTAATCTCACACCAGGCAGGGTAGGGGAGAAGAAAGGACCTGGCAGAATTGTGGGATGCCCTCTGAACAGTACGGGTTTGGTTCGGGCAGTATAATGGGAGAATTATCAAGTGCTTCTCATCTCAGGGGATGAGTGAATAGCAATAGCAGCTTGGGAACAGAACAAATAAGAGTACCATGGGTTGGGGCAGCAACTTAGGGTAGGAGTAACACAAGAGAGACGGGGGGCAGCAACACCTTGGGCTGGGGAAGGACCATGGAGAGAAGACCATGGAGGCAGGGGGCAGCAACACCATGGAGAGAAGCAAGGCAAAGTAGGTGACGGAGACGGCAGCAAGGAGCGTGCGGTGCGACCAAAAGGGAAGAACGCCCCTATGCTGCCCACCCACCCACCCACTGCCAGCCCTGCTAGTGTTTTTTGAGAATTCTCAAAAAACGCTTGTGGGAGGGAAGCTGGTTGCTTCGAATTCTGGAATACTAGCTTGTCTCACCTTGGACCAGCTTGTCTCACCTTGGACCAGCTTGTCTCACCTTGGACCAGCTTGTCTCACCTTGGACCAGCTTGTCTCACCTTGGACCAGCTTGTCGCACCTTGGGGTGGGGGCGCACCTTGGGGTGGGGCAGCAGCACGGAGAGCATGAAGCCAAAGTAGGTGACGGAGAGAGCGGCCAGGAACTGCGTGAGGCCGAAGGAGAAGAAGAGCGCCGCGCTGCTCACTGCCAGGCCCGCCAGTGGCGCTGCCACTGACACGAGTGCGAGGGAGGTGAGCAGCAGGTAGGGGATCTGCGCGGGGAAGAGGAGAAAAGGAGAAGCAGGGGATGAAGGCGGTTATGATGGAATGCCGAACATGTTCGCGCAAACCTGCACGAACATGTTCGCGCAAACCTGCACGAACATGTTCGCGCAAACCTGCACGAACATGTTCACGCAAACCTGCACGAACATGTGAGCGCGGAAGTTCAAGCTACTGCTGCCCACCGCCAGGCCTGGTAATGGTGATTATACGGCTACGGGCATGAGGGAAGTGAACCGAAGGTAGAGGATCAGAGGGTTTAGGGGAAAACAGAGGAAACTCAAAGTGCCGGCTGTACACAGGGTCATGTGCAAACAGTACTCTGCCAAACAAGCAACCACTGACTGTTTCACCTCAACCACGGTGTAGCCCAGCGTGTAGAGGAAGGCAAAGTGCTGGTTGTACATGCACTCCTGGGAGGACACATTCTTGGTCTGATTCACCAGCCCCACCTCCGTGCCTGTGTGTGTGTGAATGCCATGCAACAGCTGCCTCACCTCAACAACCGTGTAGCCCAGCGTGTAGAGAAACGCAAAGTGCTGGTTGTAGATGCGCTCCTGTGCAAACACCTTCTTGGTCTGATTCACCAGCCCCACCGCCGTGCCTCCGCGCGTGTGTGTGTGAACGCCATGCAACAACAATCTCACCTCAACCATGATTTACCCCAGCGTGTGAACAAACGGAAAGTGCTGGTTGTGCACGCACGCACTCTCACAATTCAGTACTTGCTATGCTGGCCAGACAAGCAAACACGGTCTCACCTCAACCACGGTGTAGCCCAGCGTGTAGAGGAAAGCAAAGTGCTGGTTGTAGATGCGCTCCTGGGTGAACACCTTCTTGGTCTGATTCACCAGCCCCACCGCCGTGCCTCCGTGCAGCGTCGTGCCAAACGCCAGCACTGCGAAGGGGAACGCCTGCGCTGTGGTGGCCTGCACAAGAGACGTGGGGCGCACAGGGGGTTGGTTGGTGGGAGAGGAGGGGTGCAAAAGGGAGCAGATCAGAATGGCCAGCCCCCCACTCTCGTGCCTCCGTGCCGCGTCGTGCCGAACGCCAGCACTGCGAAGGGGAACGCCTGCGCTGTGGTGGCCTGCATAAAAGACGTGGGGCGCACAGGGGGTTGGTTGGTGGGAGAGGAGGGGTGCAAAAGGGAGCAGATCAGAATGGCCAGCCCCCCACTCTCGTGCCTCCGTGCCGCGTCGTGCCGAACGCCAGCACTGCGAAGGGGAACGCCTGCGCTGTGGTGGCCTGCACAAGAGACGTGGGGCGCACAGGGGGATGGTTGGTGGGAGAGGAGGGGTGCAAAAGGGAGCAGATCAGAATGGCCAGCCCCCCTCTCTCGTGCCTCCGTGCCGCGTCGTGCCGAACGCCAGTACTGTGAGGGGAACTCCTGTGCTGTGGTGGCCTGTGGGGGGGTGTGCCGGGTGGAAGAAAGAAGTGGGAGTGGGGCAGGAGGGAGCCAGTGCGCATGAGCAGAGAGTGGTACCGTCGTGGACTGACGTGCCAAACGCCAGCACTCACCGGGGGGGTCACTCACTCACTTGCAGCAGGTTGTGCCACTCACCTGCAGCAGGTTGTGCCCCTCACCTGCAGCAGGTTGTGCCCTCACCTGCAGCAGGTTGTGCACGGGGTATTGGGAGAAGAGCGAGCCGATGAGGAGGCCGAGGATGGAGGACTGGATGATGCGGTTGAGGGAGTGCGAGGTGTTGCGCCAGTAGAAGAGGTGGATGCTGTACTGCACCGCCATCAGCTTGCGCCATGGGCTCGGGAGCTTCACTGCCACGGGCGGCAGCGCGGGCATGAGGAGGAGCGGCTCGGCTGGCGTGGCTTCTTCGTTGGGGGTGCTTTCTGCTTCCGCTGCTGCTGTTGCCGCTGCTTCCGCTTCTGCTGCTGCTGCTGCTGCTGCTGCTGCGGCTGCTGCTGCGTGGGATTCTGCTGCGTTTGACACTATCGCAGCTGCTGCTGCAGCGGATGCTGCTCGGCGTCGAATCATGCCTTTGGCTTTCAGCCACCCTCCTCCACCCCCTCCTCCTTCTCCCTCTCCCTCCGCAGACTCACTTCCAGTCAGACCAGCAGCAGCAGCAACAGCCGCAGCAGCAGCAGCACCGGTGTCACGCCCGCTCACTGACCCTGCTAAGGCTTCTGCCCCCTTGGCTGCTATTGCTTCTTCCTGCTCCAACGCAGCAAGGGACCACGCTGAGTCAGACGCCACCATTGCCAGGCTGGCGCTCTCGTGCTCCATGCCACCCGCTCCTGATTCAACGAATCCCCTCCCACTCTCACCACCGCCACTAGCGGCGGCAGCAGCAGCGGCAGCAGCAGCAGCATCCCTGCCCATTGACTTGGCAGCCTCGAGATTGGCAGCAGCGGCGTGGTCAGCAAAGGCGGCAGCAGCAGCAGCGCCGCCGCGGCGGAGAGCGGAAAGGCGGTGGGCGTTGAGCATAGCGAGATCGGAGACGCGGTACTCCACGGCGTAGTCGCACGCGGTGGCGCGCTGCCGGGTGGCAGTGGCGTCGTCCCCCAGCAGGTGCTCGATGAATATGATGGGGTTCGTGTGTGGGGGCACTGGGGGCGTGCCCGGGATGGCTGAGAAATACTCCTGCAGGAGGAAGGAAATAAGGGCACGCAGGGGGTATGGGGGGGGGGAGTTGAGGGGATTGGAGAGGCGGTGAGCGTTAAGCATGAATGTAAAGGGATTTGTGTGGGGGGGCACTGGGGGCGTGCCTGGGATGGCCGAGAAATACTCCTGCAGGGGGAGGAGGAGTGTGGGGTAACAGAGGGGATGGTGGGGGGTGTTATGGAGTCATGCTAGGGGGAATTACAGTATCCGCAGTTCGGAACTTCACACAACGACCTACCCAGTCTGACTGAACCACTAGAACAAAGGCAGCATCTCATCTCATCGTCACGAGTGCTTTGTGTTTCTTTCCACAGGGCCAAAGTCAACCAACCGTGTCCCCACCCCACAATCCCGCGCATGTTTCCCCACTGCTGCTTTTGAATCGCTGCTTTGAGTTGTTGCCTTGGAGCTGCCTCAAAAGCTGCTTCATCTCATTCACTCACCACGAGAGCGTTGCTGTTCCTCCCTGCAGGACCAAAGCAGACCATGTCCCCTCCGCGGCCCAGCATGAGCAGCGAGTGCATTTCCTCGGCCCAATCACCGGCACCCGCTGGTCATGCCCAAGTGCATTCCCGTCCGTTCCTCCCCGCAGGCCCAAAGCAGACCACGCCGACCCCACGCCGAGTGGAAGGCGTTGAGATGGAAGTTGCACTATCCCACTCACTCACCACGAGCGGCATGCCTCGAACGCTGCGTCATTCCACTCACCACCAGTGCGTTCCCGTTCCTGCCCGCTGGCCCAAAGTAGACCATGTCCCCCCCGCTGCCCAGCATGAGCAGCGAGTGGAAGGCGTTCAGATGGAAGGCGGTAACCGCGTTCGACACCACCACCATCGCTCTCCCCCATGCTGCCGCCACGTGCTGTTGGGAGGGAGGGGCGCGATAGCATGGGGTATGGGGGAACAAGTGGACATGGTGTGATGAAGTGACATAATTGAACAGCATCAGATGTGCTTTCATAGATTGTGCACATTGACTCATGCATCTCACCTCACCTCAGCATGCCTGAGAATCTCGCCGGCTTTCAGACATTTCCAGCAAGAAGCAGTGAGCAGCAGTGAGCAGCAGCGAGCAGCAGCGAGCAGACGTTTTTAATTTTTTCCTCCGCTGCTGCTTGCTGGAAATGTCTGGAAATCGACTCAAGCATCTTACCTTGAGTATGCCAGGACACTTGGCCACCTTAGAGGTGTCCATGCGGAGGAACGGCACGTCAAAACCACCACACTGTCGTTTTGAGGCGCCTTAAAAGTCGTCAAACACACCACACTGTCCCACCCAGCCATCTCCATCGTAAACACAACCCCTCAGGCCCCTTTGCAATCGCTGTATGCCCCAAGTATCGCAGTGGTATCCATGCGCAGAAACGGCATATCAAAGAACACGACGCTCCGGTTCTGGATTACCTTGACTTGACTGGACCTCAACCTGTCCGGGCTCGCACCTTGAGCATGCCGGAGAACTTAGCCACTTCAGTGGTGTCCATGCGCAGGAACGGCATGTCAAAGAACACGACGCTGGGGTTGCCCGCCATCTCCATTGCAAACACGATCCGCTTCTCCACATACGCCGACCCCACGCCGTCCGCCAGAATATCCTGCACCAGGCTGTCCGCCATGCCGCCCGTAAACTCCGTAAGAGACAAAATCTGCGCGACGAACGCGCGGCGTTGCTCGTCTTGTACTTGGTCGGGGAGAGTGAGGGTGGTGCGGTACAGCAGGCTCTCCCGCAGGGTGAGCAGCGGGTAGAGGAGGTCGGCGCCTTGGATGTATGCAGTGGTGCGCAGGAACGATGGGAGGTCCCTTGGCTTTCCGTTCACCAGCAGTCGGCCATTCACCTTGCCGGGTATCTTGCGGCCTGCGGGTGCGGGAGGGAGGAGAAAGAGCAGGTAGTAGAAATCAGCGGCGCCTCGGATGCATGCTGTGGTGAGAGCGGTGCAGTACAGCAGGCTCTCTCGCAGGGTGAGCAGAGCAGCGGGTAGAGGAGGTCAGCGCCCTGGATGTACGCTGTGGTGCAAAGGAACCACCAGAAATCTCTCTACTCGCTGCTCATCAGCAGGCGCCTGGCCATTAGTTTTAAGGCGCCTCAAAACCCGGTCTCGCGGCCTGTGGGCGACTTTTGAGGCGCCTCAAAAGTCGCTTCAAAAGGCACCTCAAAAACCGGTCTCTCGGCCTGTGGGACAGGGAAGCAGGGTATGCGGGCAGAAAAAGGGTTGGATTGAGTTCTGAAGCGTCTCAAAACTGCTGGCGTGGGAAGCAGGGGGGAAGGCAGAAAGGAAAGGGGGCGCAGCAGTTGATGCCCTGAGAGAGAAGGGATGAAAGTGGAAGGTAAAGAATGATGCCGGAGAATCGGAGATTTATTCAGCCTCTTAACAAAACCGTCTGAAAAAAAAAGGTGGAGCAGCAGAGAGAGGGTATGAAAGAGGAAGAAATGAATGATGCTGACCAGAAGAGGGAGGCAAGGGAGTTGACTTGACCTCACGGTGATCAAGGCTCAAGAATTATCTCAGGCCAACCAATTAGAAACAGATGCGCACACCTATCCTGCACAGCAGATGAGCCGAGTCTAGGTCAATCTGTCTGTCTCAGTCTATTTCAGTCTATTTTTAGTGTATTTCAGTCAGTCTCAATCTCTTTCTGTCTATTTTAGTATATTTCAGTCAGCCTCAGTCTATTTCAGTCTATTTTAGTATATTTCAGTCAGCCTCAGTCTATTCCGGTCTAATTCAGTCTATACCTGAGGCACCTCCTCAGATCAAGCAAGCCTGCCCACCTGCAAGGCAGTTGAGCAGAGTGGTCTTGCCTGTGCCCCTGGCGCCCGTCACAGCTGTCACCTCCCCCGGTTTCACCCACCCCGTCACCCCCCGCACCAGGCACCGGCTCGCCTCACTCCTCCTCCTCGCCTCCCCACCAGCGCCCACCGAAGACTTCCCCCAGGCGTTCTCGGGCGGGCAGGGCAGCGGCACGGAGCAGGAGAGGTTTTCAAACGTGATGATGTACGGGGTGAAGGGAATGTTGCAGTCCATGATCGCTGCCTCTGCTGCCCCTGCTGCCTCTGCCGCTGCTGCCGCCGCTGCCACTGCTGCTTCTTCTGCTGTTGAGCTTCCATGGCCGTCCCTCGAAACGGCAGGACCAGGACCCCACTCCACATCCCTGTAGCTCGAATGCCCTCCCATCCCTCCCTGCTCCTCTGCTCCGCCAGGCTTCTTCTGGGAGGTGCCCTCTCCTCCGCCCGCTGCTGCTCCCTCCTTCCCACTGCCCCTCCGCTGCCATGAACCCCCCATGGCAGCCGTAACTGCCCCCAAAACCCTCGCTGCTACTGACCCAGTTGCTCCTCCCCCAGTTGCTCCTCCCCCAGTCCCATTCCCGTTCCCCTCCTCCCTCGCACCAGCCCGCTTCCCTCCGCGCTTGGCCTCTGAGAGCACTCTCACGGGCGCAGCAAAGGTGCTGTAGTGCTGCGGCCGCATGCTCAGAAACGTCCCCACCGTCCAAATGGCAATCCACGCGAGAATCACAAACGGCCCTGCGATCAAATACCCCCATTCGTAGTTCCAGCTGTACTCTTCCATGTACGCTCGGCCGATCGGCCAGTTCTCGCGCCCCACACAGTACGGCATGTTGGTCGGGACGAGTGCAGGAGCTGGGCAGAACTGCACAGGAACGTACTTCCGCTGCTCGTTGATCGCTAGGACCGTCGACGCCCACTGCATGGGGTTGATCCAGTATAGCCAGATCCAGAAACTCGGTATAAGCGCCTTGGCTACAAGGATGTGGCCGAAGAGGAACATGCCGGGGCCCATGAAGATGGCCGCAGCGAAGGCGGCGGAGCGGAGGGTGCGGGAGGTGAAGGCGATGAAGCGGATCATGGCAGCGCCGTGAATGGCCACGAGGGAGAGGACGAAGAGGAAGATGAAGAAGTGCGCTCCGTAGTCGGAGAGCGTGAGGCCCGAGAGGAAATACACCAGCACCGACCAGATGGTCGCCTGTAGGGGACGGGGGGGAAGGAAGTAGGGAAGTGGAAAGGCTGTGCAAGAGCGGAAGTTTGGGCACACTGCGATAATTGAAGTACTCTTCATCCTGTTTGATTCCACATTCCACATTCCACATCACAATTCACAACACAATCTGGAGGCTGGCGACGAGGTGCGAGATTCCACATTCCACATTCCACATTCCACATTCCACATCCTCATTCACACTGCGGCAGGCTGGCGACGAGGTGCGAGAACGCGTAGGAGCGCGTAAGATTTACCCCCCACACATCTTGACAGCTCCCAAGGCATGCCTACAGTAACAACGTACAGCTGTCCCTGCCCACCCGCCCACCCACCTCAACGATGGAGAGTGGCAGGCTGGCGATGAGCTGCGAGAGCGCGTAGGAGCGCGTGCGGAAGAAGCGCGCGCTGCGGTGCTTGAAGTACACCTGGCGCTCCAGCATGTAGCCCGGCAGCAGGCTCACGTTGTTCACCGTCATGGTGATCAGCGATATCTGCATCACGCCCCTCCGCAGGTTCAGGTGCGCGAAGGACGGCGGTTCGGCTGGCAGCTGGAAGAAATCAAATCCCACGAAGAGGCCGAGCAGGGTGACCTGCGGAGGGAGGGAAACAATGAGGACGAAGGGAGTATAGAGAAGGGAGAAGGGGAAAGGGAGAGTGAGAAGGCGGGTTAGTGGGAAGTTTTTTCGTATGAATTGGCAGCAGGCTGACGCTGTTGACAGTCATGGTGATGAGCGAGTGATATCTGCATCACGCCCCGCCGCAGGTTCAGGTGCGCGAAGGGCGGCGGTTCGGCTGGCAGCTGGAAGAAATCAAATCCCACGAAGAGGCCGAGCAGAGTGACCTGCGGAGGGAGGGAAACAATGAGGACGAAGGGAGTATAGAGAAGGGAGAAGGGGAAAGGGAGAGTGAGAGGGCGGTTTAGTGGGAAGTTTTTTCGTATGAATTGGCAGCAGGCTGACGCTGTTGACAGTCATGGTGATGAGCGAGTGATATCTGCATCACGCCCCGCCGCAGGTTCAGGTGAGCGAAGGGCAGCGGTTCGGCTGGCAGCTGGAAGAAATCAAATCCCACGAAGAGACCGAGCAGAGTGACCTGCGGAGGGAGGGAGGGAAGCAGGTGAAGGAGGGAGGGAGCAGGGAGAAGGACGATCGGGAGGTGGATAAGTAGAAAGGTTAATTCATCAACTGAATGGAGGGAGGTCCGCGGGGAGGTGTAAGAGGTCCGCGGGGAGGTGTAAGAGGTCCGCGGGGAGGTGTAAGAGGTCCGCGGGGAGGTGTAAGAGGTCCGCGGGGAGGTGTAAGAGGTCCGCGGGGAGGTGTAAGAGGTCCGCGGGGAGGTGTAAGAGGTCCGCGGGGAGGTGTAAGAGATCCGCAGGGAGGTGTAAGAGGTCCGCAGGGAGGTGTAAGAGGTCCAAGCCCACGAGGTCCTGCAGGGAGGTGTAAGAGACTGAGCAGGTCGAAGCCCACAAAGAGGTCCTGCAGGGGCCAGGGGAGAGAGGGAGGGAGGAAGGAGAGGCGGGAAAGGGGTGTGAGGAGAAACAAGCAGACGACTGCTGAGGCAGTTCAGAAGGTGGAAACAGTCGAAGCCCACGAAAGAGGTCCTGCAGGGACCAGGGGAGAGAGGGAGGGATGACAGAGAGGAGGGAACGAAGGGGGAGGATGCAATCTAGTCAAGCAGGACAGAGACAACAGCGTCAACCCCTCCTCCTCAGGCTACACAGTAAACAGGTTGCGCTGCCCTCTCTCATTGCAGAGCAGCAACTCCCAGAAAACACACGCACAGAAACCCCTCTTCTCACCAGCAGCAGGTGGGCAGCAATGAAGCTCCAGTTGCGCAGGTTCACTTGCAACTGGCGCTGCAGCAGCAGCTTGAACTCAAGGTCAGGCCACATGTCTTTTGAGCGCCTCAAGGTCAGACCACATGTCCAGAACCAACTCCTTGCGCAGCAGCTCTCTCTTCTCGCCCCCCGCTCAGCCAGCCATCTCAATCCCACAGCCAGCCATCTCAATCCCACAGCCACCCATCTCAATCCCACAGCCACCCATCTCAATCCCACAGCCAGCCATCTCAATCCCACAGCAATCTCGCACCAAAACACCCCACCTCTGCACCACATGCTTCCCCTCGCCTGCACCAGCTCCTCTCCTCCCACTTACCAGCAGCAGGCGGGCAGCAATGAAGCTCCAGTTCCGCAGATTGACCTGCAACTGCCGCCTCAACAACAACTTAAACTCAGGCCACATGTCCAGAATCAACTCCTTGCGCAGCAGCTCTCTGTTCGCCCCCCCCCACAGCCCCGCCATCACCGCCGCGCGCGACGCCGTCGCCGCAGCCGACAGGTTCATGGCTTTAAGAGCCCCTGCGGCATTCACCCCCTGCAGCTGCATGAACGCGCCGCTCCTCCTCCTGCTGCTGCTGCCCTGCAGCCTTTTGAATGCAGACAGGCCGATGCTCTTGAAGGCTTTCGTGATGGCGTGGGGGATGGCCTTCGGGAGCGACTGGATGCCCCTCGCGTTGCCCCGCTTCGTGCTCCCTGCTGCTGCGACCGCGTCTGCCTCCTCCTCTCCATGCTCTCCCTTGTCGTCCTCACCTGCTGCTCCTCGGGCGCTGTCGCACCGGGCAATGTGGCTGACCAAAGCGTGTGTGTCGTCGGCGTCAGCAGGGGTGTCATGGTCATGGATGTCAACACGCGTGTCATTGGCCTTGGCCTCCACATGCTCAGCCTCTGCGCCTGCAGCAGCAGCACTGCCAGGCGGGGGCTCAGCCGCATCAGCTCCCTGCTGTGCACTCTCACCAGCTGCCCCACCAGCAGCAGCAGCCCCACCAGCAGCAGCAGCACAGCCGGCCTCCACGTCGCTGGGAGCCTGGCTGCTACTCGTCAACAGGTGTTCCGTCTGCTCCTCCTCCTCGCCGCACTGAGTTGCCTTTTCCTGGTGGTGGGGTTGGACGAGACAGGAACGGATAACCCCGAAACCCTTGACAGGAAAGCCTGGCAGAGCAGAGCGCTCTCGCTGGAAGGGCGGGAGGCGACATGAAGCAGCTGGGGGATGGATGGACAGATGCACAAACGTCCCTTGCCGAGGCCCAGGTAGCCATAACATAACAATTGAGACGTCTCAAAACTTTTGACTTTTGAGACGTCTCAAAACTTTTGACTTTTGAGACGTCTCAAAACTTTTGACTTTTGAGACGTCTCAAAAGGCACAAACGACCCTCGCCAAAGCTCAGGTAGCATGACGTAACATAACAAAACAATACTCCCACACCCAAGGCCGGCCGGCACTCACCGGCTGTGTGACTATATTGAGGGGTCGCTGCAGCTCCAGATGCAGCCATGTGGCGCTGTCCCTGACCTCCTCCAGCATCTCCATTATCTCCTCCACCGGCACATCCCCCCCCGCATACCTCGCATACTCCATCTCACCCCGATCGCCCACCGTCACTGCCACCACCACGTCTCCTACACACACCGGTCCCGTCGCCTCCACCCCCTCCTCCAAATGCCCCCCCTCTCCCCTTCCCCTTCCCCCTCTCCTTCCCGCTCCTCTCCCTCCCCCTCGTCCCTCCCCATCAGCTTCGCCTGCCCCCACTCCTCCTTCCCCCCCGTCCTCATCGAATATCACACGAGACTCTGTCACCACTACTGCTTGGTAAGATGACACTCCCAACCCCTTAGCTTCTCCTCCCGCCGACGAGCTCTCTGCTGCTCCGCTGCTTCCTGCTGCAGCGCCCTGCTGCTGCTCGCCGTTTGGAGCTGATGTGGCAGCGTCTGGAGCGCTGGCGTCTGCTGAAGTGGCGTCAGGTGCCACGTCGGCGATCGCGCAGCGGATCCGGGAAAGGACGTGGCATGCCGGCCCGGAGATCCAGAGGAGGAGGAGAGGCGTGGGGTGGCTTGTGACACGGAGGATGTTCTTGTAATGAGGGGACTTCTTGTATGCACGCACTGTTGGCAGGCAGGCAGGCAGGATGTTGGATGGTGTGTGAAAGGAAAAGCATGCGGAGGTGTGGGAGATGGATGAGGAAGGATGAGAAAGGATGAGGAAGATGAGGAAGATGAGGAAGATGAGGAAGATGAGGAAGATGAGAATGAAAGCACGGATGTTAACACGCCAGGCCAGAGTCAGGAGAGAACAGTACACAAACCCAGGCACACCCTCCCCACCAACCCAGGCACACCCTCCCCACCAACCCAGGCACACCCTGCCCACCAACCACACAGCACCCAGCCTTGCAACTGCACTCACAAAACCCCTCAGCAGCAACGCACTCACCAAATCTCTCACTTAACTTGCATTGCACGCGCACTCACCGAAGCCCTCGAGCAGCACGCGCACTCACCGAAGCCCTCGAGCAGCACCGCACTCACCGAAGCCCTCGAGCAGCACCGCACTCACCGAAGCCCTCGAGCAGCACCGCACTCACCGAAGCCCTCGAGCAGCACCGCACTCACCGAAGCCCTCGAGCAGCACCGCACTCACCGAAGCCCTCGAGCAGCACCGCACTCACCGAAGCCCTCGAGCAGCACCGCACTCACCGAAGCCCTCGAGCAGCACCGCACTCACCGAAGCCCTCGAGCAGCACCGCACTCACCGAAGCCCTCGAGCAGCACCGCACTCACCGAAGCCCTCGAGCAGCACCGCACTCACCGAAGCCCTCGAGCAGCACCGCACTCACCGAAGCCCTCGAGCAGCACCGCACTCACCGAAGCCCTCGAGCAGCACCGCACTCACCGAAGCCCTCGAGCAGCACCGCACTCACCGAAGCCCTCGAGCAGCACCGCACTCACCGAAGCCCTCGAGCAGCAGCTTCCTCTTGCCGGATCTGAGGGCGCCCCCTCCCTCCGTGGTGACGTGCTGCAGATACTCCGGCACTGACATGTGTAGTGGCTTCAGGTAGCTGGGGAGGAAAGGGGGGAAGGGGGGGAAGGGGGGGAAGGGGGGAAGGGTGGGAAGTTGGTTGGTGAGGGCACTCACTCACGTGCTGCAGATACTCCGGCACTGACGTGTGTAGTGGCTTCAGGTAGCTGAGAGGGGGGGGGGGGGGAGATGATGGGGCGATGGGGGGACAGGAGAGATGGGAGGAGAGGGGAGTGGGTACGAGTGAGGGAATGAGGACAAGGCGAGTCAGTAAGGGCATTGACGTGCCGCGCTGCGGATAACCTGGCACTGACATGTGCAGTGGCTTCAAGTATCTGGGGGGAGGGGAAGAGGGGACAGGAAGGGGTGGGGAAAGAGGGGACAGGAAGGGGAGGGGAAAGAGGGGACAGGAAGGGGTGGGGAAAGAGGGGACAGGAAGGGGAGGGGAAAGAGGGGACAGGAAGGGGTGGGGAAAGAGGGGACAGGAAGGGGTGGGGAAAGAGGGGACCGGAACGTGCTGAACTGCAGATAATCTGGCTTCAGGAAGCGGCACTGACATGTGCATGTGCCTCTCCCGACTTTGCAGCATTGAATAATCATTTGCGCGTGTGCCTCTCGCTCACCCAAGCTGCTGGAAGTGCCTGAGCGCGGTGTGGCAGGGGCCCTGGTAAACAATGTTGCTCTGGTTGAGTGCCGCAGCAAGAGAAGCAGCACACACAAGCAGCACAGCACACAGCACACAGAACACAGCACACACATACACGCAAAGATGCGTGTATTGGTCACTCACCCGAGCTGCTGGAAGTGTCGGAGCGCGGAGTGGCAGGGGCCCTGGTAGACAATGTTGCCCTGGTTGAGCACGATGACCGGTCGAAGAGGGAGAAGACCGCCTGTGTGGGCGACTGCAGCGAGCACAGCACCGCGTGCTGCCGCACCTGGTGTGTGTGAGGGTGGGTGGGGGGGTGAGGTGGGTGCGTGTGTGTGTGTGTGTGTGTGTCGGTGTGGGTGTGGGTGTGGGTGTGGGAGTGTGGGTGAGGGGTGTGGGTGTGGAGGGGGGAAAAGGGGGAGAGGGGAGGGGCAGAGAGCGTAGGGATGCGTCAGAGATGTTTGAGCACGATGACCCGGTCGAAGAGGGAGAAGGCCGCCTGTGCGGGAGACTGCAGCGAGCACAGCACCACATGCTGCCGCACCTGTGTGTGAGAGGGTGGGTGAGGGGGTGAGGTGGGGTGTGGGTGTGGGTGTGGGTGTGGGTGTGGGTGTGGGTGTGGGTGTGGGTGTGGGTGTGGGTGTGGGTGTGGGTGTGGGTGTGGGTGCCAAGGGAGGGAGGAGAGGCAGAGGAGCACAAAGACACATGCACTGCACGCACACACAAGCAGAGGCTGACTGACCTGTGCGTGGGTGCGCAGCATGGTGAGCGTCTTGTGTGTGGAGGGCCCATCATACACCTGGCTGATGCGATCAAACAGCAGCACCTGGGGGGGAGAGGGGGAGAGCAGCAGGTCATGAGATGGGATGGGAGTAGGGGTGGGTGGGTGAGCACTGAGCGCATGTGGAGAACAGGAGAGGAGGCGCGCAAAGAAGTAGAGAAGAACACAGCACCGCACAGCACAGGCACAGCGCAGCACAGAAAGAGACAGCACGGCATGGCCCGCACGGCACGGCACGGCACGGCACAGCACGGCACGGCACGGCACGGCACGGCACAGCACAGCACAGCGGAGCACACGGCCCCCTGCACCCACACTGACTGCATTCCTTCTGGTCTTGGATAGATTTGTCGCTAGGAAGGCCTTAAGTCCAGCGTCAATACGGATTTTTTTTATCTAGAGTTGGGCGTACGTTTTGACTCTCGACGTTTACCTAAACCCTGAACATTAAAAATTTGTGCTGCTCGAAATCGAAAAAAAAAGGGGCGAAACGGGAGAACAGGGATAGAGGAAGAGAAGGGGAAGGACAGGAGGCGAGGGGAGAAGGGAGAGGGGAGAGGCAAGGGGGAGAGAGAGGAGAGGCGTTTGGGAGAGAGGAAGAAGAGGGAGAGACAACGCACCGTGCATGCGCCTCAGTACTCACCGGGTAAGCGCCAACCATGAGCTCAGCAGCAGTCAGGGGGTGCACCTCGTTCCTAGTCACCCTCTCACCCTTCTAAACCCGCCTCAGCACTCACCGGGTAAGCGCCAACCATGAGCTCAGCAGCAGTCAGCCGGTGCACCTCGTCTCTGGTCAGCGCCCCCGACCCAACCTTCTCTCCCGCATGCCGTCGCAGCCCAAACATGGCCTCTCGGGACGCCACCAGAGGGTCCTCGCCCCTCTCTATGCTCGCCCGCAGCGCCTTGCTCAGCATGGGGTGCTGCAGCAGCTGCTTGGCTGACAGCGGGTACGAGCAGTGGCGGGCGAAGGCGAGGGTTTCGTGCACGGAGAGGGCGGGGAGGTGGCAGTCGGCATCGAAGCCCACCCCCACGAGGCGATGCGCGCAGCGAGGGCGTGATGGGGTGCGCGTTGAACGAGACGGTGCCGGTGGTGGCGGGCTGGCGGCCGGCTAGCAGCTTGATGAGCATGGACTTGCCGCTACCTGTGGGTGGGGTGTGTGGGGGATGGATGAATGGGATGGGGGTGCGTGATGAACATGGCGTTGAAGGCGACTGTGACGCTGCTGGCGGGTTGTCGGCCGGCTAGCAGGAGGATGAGCATTGACTTGCCAAAATCTGAGACGTCCAAAAGTCGGCTAGCAGGCGGATGAGCATTGACTTGCCGAAAACTTGAGAGAAAAGGGGGAGGTGGGGGGGATGGATGAATAGGGCAGGGCAGAGAAGGTGTGACGGGGGGGGCGTTGATACGAGACGGTGCTGGTGGTGAGGGATGCCGCCTGGCTAAGCGGCAGTTTAGAATCCATTTGCCAGTGCCTGTAACACAACATGGGGACGAGTGAACGGGATGGGAATAACGGGGTGGTGGTGGGAGGAATGCAATGTCCACCAGCTAGCTGGCAGTCTCAAAACGGGCTCACCTGGGACCCACCTGAAGCCCACCTGAGTCTCACCTGAGGCCCACCTGAGTCTCATCTGAGGCCCACAAGAGTCTCGCCTGACGGCAGGTGGGTGGAGGAAGACAAGATGGCTCACCTGAGGTTCCCAGGAGGAGTGTGAGAGTCCCTGGCATGAGGAAGCTGCAAGGAAAGTGTGACAAGAGAAAGCGATAGAGGCAAGGCAGAGGATGGATCATGGCAATGGAAGGGGAGAGCAGAAGGCGGTGAGTGAGTGGACCTGGGGGAAGCAAGTTGCGCATCGGTTGGGGACAGGTGTGTGGCACGTGGGATACACGTGCTGTGCACGTGTTGTACACATGGGCGTGAGATTCAGTGTGCAGGACAGGTCAGGTCAGGCCAGGAAACGTGTGCAGATTGCACTTAGTCTAACGTACAGCAGAGAGCATGACGCATCCTGAGACATGTCGACGCAAGATACAGTGTGCAGGACACGAGATACAGGACATGAGAGGCGGGAAAGGAAGCCCGAGTGCACGAGATACACCCTCAGAGACCATCTAGCACATGAATGGTGTATATTGATTTAAAAGGCACGCACCCTGAGACATCATCGAGCACGTGAATGGTCTCCTTCCTCTGCCAGCCCGCGGGGGGGGGGCATGACATAGGGGTGCAGTACAAGCACTACACGTGCAGCAGAGGGCAGGAGAGGCACGCACCCTGAGACATCGTCGAGCACGTGAATGGTCTCCTTTTTCTGAAAGCCCGCGATGGCCTTGAGCTTGAAATACGGCTGCTCCAGCCGTGAGAGGAAACGAGAGGAACAGAGAGGGAGAGAGAGTGGGTTAATACGAAGAACCGTATTTGCTTGTGCTTTTCCTTGTTTGTCCATTGCTGATATTAATACGAAGGACCGTTGGAGAGAGTGGGACAGAAGGACAGAGGGGAAAAGAGGGGCAAAGCGAGGTGTGAAAAGAAGGGCAGTCGGAGGAGCAAAGAGAGGGGAAGATAGGCAGTAAGCAAGGGTGTCGAGGGGATGACAAGAGCACATTAGGTCCCTAGGGTTGCAAGGCACACCCCCTCTTCTCCCTTGTATTTCATGCACACCACTTAGTTTAGTTCTGCTCTGCCCGCATTGTTGTGATGGCCTTGTTGTGACATCACAATGGCGCAGCAGCCTCCCTATAGTACAGCCAAAGTCGACTCAAACGTCACCTTTTTTAGTCGATTTAGAAGTCACCTCGCCCTGCCCGCATTGTGGTGATGGTCTTTTTGTGGCATTACAATGGTGCGGCAGCCTCGTTATAATACAGCCAGTGACCTTTCGGTCGACTCAAAAGTCAACTGCTGCTTCCGCACTGCCTGCATTGTTGAAAACGGCCTGGCCTTGTGGCATGGTGCTGCCTCGTACAGCAGCCAGTGACCTCCCTTCGATCCCCCTTGCATGCCACTATTCTCACCACATCCCCCAGTCCCCCCAGTTAGGCATGGCTCACCACCCCTCCCACGGTTCACTCTCACAATGCCCCTCTCTCCACCCTTGTGTGGATTCTTGGAAGTCAAACCGGCCCGCTCCCCATTCTCACCGCGTTGAAGCAGTTTTTGATTTGATCCGGGATGACCACCACCTTCTTTGTCACTGCCACGTGGCTGAATGTCACCACCTGATTGGATGGGTTGCACACGTGGATTCATGGGTTGATGAGTTGACGGCGAGCGACCATGCAGGTCTGCACACATGCACACACTCGCGCGCGTATTGTGCGCGCGCACACACACTAACGCATGCGCACGCACGTGCACACACACGCACACACACATACACACACACAAACGCACACACACACACACACAAACGCACGCACGCACACACACATACGCACACACACACACATACGCACACACATACACACAAACACACACTCACACACACATGCACGCACACACACACACACACACACACACACACACACACACACACACACACACACACACACACACGCACGCATGTGCTCCCTAGTTCTCACCTGCGGCTGCGCGCACAGCAGGTTGGGCTGCATGGCAATCAGATACTTCTGCAACCCCTCCCTCACCATCACCTCGCTCTTCACCACCTCCCCCTCCCCCACCTCCCCGTTCTCCATCCGCCCCGGCCCCCACCCACCTTCTCCCCCTTTCCGTCCCCCTCCTCATCCTCTTCATCCCCATCCGCCTCATCCTCGTCTGCCGCGCCCCGCCTGCGCGAAGCCATGCTCTTGATGCTCACGAGGCGCGCGGCGGCGGACGCGGCGATCTCCTGCGCCTCGTCCGCGAGCCCGTGCGCGGTGAGCGCGTCGTGGTACCGTCGGATCAGGTTGATCAACGGCGCCTCGCCGATCCCAAAATAGATCGTTGTAGAAGGCCGACGACGACGGGCCGCTAGAAGGCTCTTCCGCGTCGGAATCGCCGGGGAACGCGGAGGAACCGGACGAAATGCCGGAAGCGGCGGAAACGAAGATGCCGGCGGCGGCGGAGTGC